ACTCTTAGCAAAGCCGAAATCAACTATTCCGTCACTGAAAAGGAATGCCTCGCCATTATTTGGGCGATAGAGAAATTTCGACCTTACGTGTACGGGCGCCCTTTTGACGTCGTGACTGACCACCACGCCCTCTGCTGGTTGTCGTCACTGAAGGATCCAAGCGGTCGCCTCGCCCGATGGGCATTACGCCTCCAAGAATATAATATTCGCGTGGTCTATCGCTCCGGCCGGAAACATTCGGACGCAGACGCCCTATCCCGTTCGCCCCTAACCCCTGACCCGGACTGCTGCGAAAGTCTAACCTGTGATGCCACTGCCGTCACCATCGCCGACATGCCATCTGAGCAACGCAAGGACCCTTGGGTTGCTTCAATTCTAGACATCCTGGCTGGGCGGACGGCTTCCCCCCCTTCTCGCACGTTGCGTCGGCAAGTCAAGCACTTCGCCACTCGCGACGACGTGCTGTACCGACGCAACTACGCACCCGGTGGACGTCAGTGGCTACTCGTGATTCCACGTCATCTGCGATCCGAAATTTGTTCCACATTTCATGACGACCCCCAATGTGGCCACGCAGGTTTCCTGAAGACTTATTCTCGCATACGTCTCCGATATTACTGGCGTGGCATGTACCGTATTATACGACAATACGTTCGAGCCTGCTCGACGTGCCAGAGACGAAAAACTCCCCCTTATCACGCCAGCGGTACCTTGTTACCCTTACCATGCCCATCCCGACCATTCGACCGCGTCGGCATCGATATCTGTGGTCCCCTTCCCAACACTGCTGACGGTAACAGCTGGATCATAGTTACCGTGGACCATCTCACGCGGTATGCCGAAACTTCATTCCTTCCCTCGTCTACAGCAAAAGACGTTGCGACTTTCGTGCTTCACAACATCGTATTACGTCATGGAGCACCTCGGGAGTTACTCAGCTATCGTGGTCGCGTATTCTTGTCAAACGTCATCACAGCATTGCTACATGAGTGCCAGGTCGTTCACCGCACTACAAGCGCCTATCATCCCCAGACCAATGGAATGACAGAGCGCTTCAACCGCACCCTTGGTGACATGCTGTCTATGTATATCTCGTCAGACCACTCCAATTGGGACCGAGTGCTCCCGTTTGTCACGTTCGCCTATAATACCGCCATTCAAAGCACTACTGGGTTCTCTCCTTTTTTCCTCCTTTACGGACGCGAACCTTCTTGCACTATGGACGCCATTCTTTCGTACAAACCTGACTCCTCAGAGTCCACGACTTTGTCTCAAGCCGCTATATACGCTGAAGAATGCCGCCAACTGGCAAGATCATTCACAACCCAAGACCAAGGACGCCAAAAGCACCACCATGACGCATCAAATAACACTACTTCCTACGATCCAGGTTCACTCGTCTGGCTGCATGTCCCTTCTGCTACACCTGGCCTTTCTACCAAGTTGGTCCCTAAGTATCACGGCCCATATCGTGTGCTACAAAAAACATCACCAGTGAATTACCTCATTGAGCCACTGGAACCATCTTCTGACCAACGTTGTCGTGGCCAGCAAATTGTCCACGTCTCGAAACTTAAGCCCTGCTACGACCCTCCCGTGTTTACTTGTCCATAGGTCGCCAGGATGGCTCCTTATTTCGCGGGGAGTAATTGTAATGAATCTGAATAACGGACGCTCTGCTGGTAATGAAGAAGACGAGGATGATCGGTGGCTGTAGTAGTATCTCGCGCACGCCGCTCGCCATTAGCCAGACCTGTGATAAAGCACATTTTGCCAAGCTGCGTCTGAACCTTTCTCGACGTACAACACCTCTATTTTATTATATATATATATATATATATATATATATATATATATATATATATATATATATATATATATATATATATATATATATATAATGTCATGAGATGAAGCGGACGAGCAAACGAAAAACGAAACGATGCTTTATTGCCAACGTTACGGCCAGTACACGCACTTTTTTTATTTATTTACAAATACTGCTGGCCAGAGGCCAAAGCAGGAGGGGCAAGATAATACAGTTGTCATACACATTTCAAAACAACATCAACAAATAAAGTGGAAAGCGTGACATATTTATACAAAAGCAACAAAAGGAAAGAGTGGGGAGGGAAAAGAGGAAATAGTTGGAATAGTTAGAAAAACAACTTCAAATTTCAGCGTAAATAAGATCGGGAGAGTGTAAACTGCTTGCAGGCAAATCGTTCCACTCTTCAATGGTACGAGGAAAGAAGGAAAATTTGAACAAGTTAGTACGAGCAAAATATGGTGTTAAAGAAAGTGCGTGTGAATGCCGAGTCTGGCGTGTTCTTAGTGGTGTGAGGTAGGGGTCAGGGTTCAGAGCAAATTTGCGGTTAGAAAGTTGGTACAAAAATTTGAGACGTAAGAATCTGCGTCTCGACTGCAAAGATGTGATACCATTTGAAAGCATTACACTAGTTACAGAACTACCAGGCTTGTAAAGAGAATAAATGAAACGAACTGCCCTCCGCTGAATTTTTTCTAATGCATCAATGTTAGTTTTAGTATAAGGATCCCAGGCAACGCATGCATATTCTAAGTTAGGGAGAATCAAGGATTGGTAAGCTAAAAATTTCACTTTCGCAGGAGCATCCTTAAGTTTGTGCCTTAGCATGCACAATTTGCGGAAAGCTGCGGAAGAAACTTGTTTAATGTGGAAATTCCAACTTAAATTATTCGTTAGAGTGACACCAAGATACTTGTATTCCTTAACTTCTTTAATAGGTTGGTTAGAGAGCGTGTAGTCAGTTAGTACTGGCTTTTTCTTGTTAGTGACACGGAGCAGAACTGATTTATCCAAGTTTAGTTCCATCCCCCATTGATTGCACCATAGACATATATTGTTTAGAGTGGACTGGAGAGCTGCTTGGTCATTAGAACTAGTTATCGAGTTAAACAGAATACAATCATCTGCAAAAAGTCGAACGTTAACAGGTGGGTTTACACAATTTACTACATCGTTACAGTATATCAAAAATAGTAGGGGACCGAGTACACTGCCCTGTGGGACACCTGAAGTAACCGGCAGAAGAATTGAGTTCTGATTATTAATGCACACAAACTGGGAGCGATCAGACAGGTAGTTACAAATCCAGGCTAATAGAAAATTTGGAAGTCCAATAAGCTGTAATTTAACCATAAGTTTATCATGGGGGATGCAGTCGAAAGCTTTGCAGAAATCTAGGAATATGACGTCTACTTGGCCGCCCTTATCAATCACAGATGCAAGAGAATGAATGACTGTACATAACTGAGTTGTTGTCGACAAGCCCTTTTGAAAACCGTGCTGATACGGAGATAAAAAGTTATGCTCATCTATAGGTGTTTTGATATGAATGTTGTGACAATGTGTTCTAACATTTTGCTACAAGACGATATAATCTTCTTAAGGAAATGGCATGGGGGCCCCCTATTGTGAATAATCACTCTTAACAATATTGACATGCATACATGTTAACAAAAAGATATTCAGACATACGCAGCATTTTGTAGATATCGGAGCAGCAGTGCGCGATACAGAACCATGGGAAGGCAAGGTGACGTGAAAACATAAGATACAAATAATATGACGGACACTTGTGATATCGCAGCATTTGTGAATGAATAAAAACAATAAAAAAGGCAATGTCATGTTAAGGCACGTTCGTTGTCTATGAAATACACACGAGCATTGATGCCACTATGTGGTAACAGAGTGTGCATGCGTTCTGGTCAACTATCTGATGTGTCACCGATGGCACCGCAATGTAATCGCAGCAGTGAACAAACGTGTGTGTGGGCTACCATGGTTGATTTATCTGTTTGGCTGGCAAAAACGTAAGCCTCCCTGGGTTCTCGTTTATTCCAGCCGCTATGGCGTTAAATTTATGAATAAGAAAGATTCACGAACTTACCTTTCGTAGTGTGATTTAAAACCAGATTCGAGTGTTGTGGCAGTTATGTTGTCGAAAGAGTAACCTGGGGTAGCGAGGTGTTTGGACAGAGGAATGCAGGTCCAAGACATCTGACCTGTGATTATTGAAGCGCAACCGGAAACCTGTCTCCGTTTGACCAATATACTGGAGGTCACACAAAGAGCATTGAAGCAAGTAAATTGCATTGTTCGTGTCGCAGTCGAAATTTCCTTTTATCCGGAGAGTGAAGTTTGACGCAGAGCTCTTAACGATTCGCGACGTGGTCACGTGGGGGCACACCTTGCAGCGTGCCTTTTTACATGGGTGACACCCCACATGGACTGGCGTTGATATATTGGATGACGTAAGTATGTCTCGTAGGTTTCTCGATCGGCGGTAAACTATATTCGTGGAGGCTCCCAGAAGACGTCTTTGGGACTGTCGGTTTTTTACTATTACTTTATTTATACAATTATTCGAATAACGAGAAATCTTCTTGAACAATATTTATGTGAGAAATCCTAGCACCGCCCCTGGCTAAAACGCTGCAACGCTATATAGATGCGGCCATTACACACAAGATGACATGTAAAGATTTTTTTCTGGCTGGAACACATCCCTCTGAGGTCTTCGCGGAATGCCACGGAGACATCCGATTAGCGGGACGGACGACATCGCCTCCACTGCCCTGGCGTTGTCCTATCCGTCTTCCGCCAACATCCGACGCGACAGCGGCGACAACTTTCTCAGCACTAACTGGCCGGCTTGCAGCAACGACACGAGGCCTACCAGAGCGCGAGCAGACTTCGAAGAATGTATTTTGGGGACGTTTTTTGCTACTCGCCCACCGTTCCGCGAGCAGCGGGTTTGCCTCCTCTTTCTCGGTGCAGCGTCGTTATATTTGCGTGCTGCGCTACGGAGGCTGCATCCTCTGTCAGTCCAATCGCAAAAGCGCGCACTGCGGTGCACATTGTATTCCTCCGCCTGAGGATCCCTCAACTCATCAACTAGTTCCGCGTTGAATCACCTGGAGATACTGGCAGAAAGACATAAATGCGCTTCCTGTGGCGTCAACAGATACATAACTTTTTTCTTTAGATATCGCAAGCGGTAAAGTAGGACTTCGAGAACGAAGGGCTACGTCGTGTAGCGTAGAAAGAAACGCACATTGGCTGAGCTTTAGAGGACAGTGCGCTGCACGAAACTGCCGTTATAGTCAGGGCTACACTTCGGCCGAGTCTCGGAAGCAGACGACGGGACCGGGCTCGAAGCATCGCGTCGTCTGCTTTCGTGGAGCACGTGATGCAACGGAGTGCCCGAGTAGGATAGAGCAAAAGAACAAAAACATTACGCGACGAGTGGTGCAGCTGGACCAGGAAACCATGGGGACCATGCTCGCGGTGCTGTGCACGTTGGCGGGACTCGCCGAGATCGCCCACTGCAAGCAGAGAGCGCGCACAGCCGGGGATTCGTGCTGGGCGGCCACCGACTCGCATCTCTCCAAGAAACGGGTAAGGATGATGTCCTTGCCGAGCCGTCTGCTTAAGGTGTGTAAAAGGTTCACTTCTACTATACAGTTGCCGACATTTGGTTTTTTCGAAGCGAAGCTCATTGAAAATGCACTTGTTTTTTCCTAAGCGGTCCCCCCTGATTCAGTCCTCTTAAAGGCTTCATTGTATAGCGCGAAACGACACGCAGGTACGAAGAGGCACATGAGCACGCCACACGAGGCGCTACCAGCATGTTTACGTTCACAAAACCAGAGCGCTTAGAAACCTCCATGCGCATTCTCAGGTCCGTGTGTCGTTGAGCGCAACGTTATCCTAGTAACTTCTTTGGTTTCGCGCTAGCTGTTCACAGATTCACCAAGTGCATGCACATTTCAACCCTTCGCCGCGGTGGTGTTGCGGTTATGGGGCTCAGCTGCTGACCTAAAGTTCGCCAGTTCGGTCCCGACCACGGCCGTCTCATTTCGATGCAGGCGAAATCCTAGACACCGTGTACCGTGCGATATAAGAGCACGTTAATGAAGTCCAGATGGTCGAATTTGCCGGAGCCCTCCCTTACAACCATATCGTGGTTTTGAGACGTTAAGCTTGAGATGTTATTATTATTTTAACCCTTGTTTCTTTGAAACCTGCTATGCTTTGTGTATACCTGTAACATGTATGATCAATGTGGCCAAAGCTAAGGAAATGAAGCTATCGGTCTCGATTGCCTTCTACTCATGGTGTTAAAAAAACAACATGAATTTAAGTTGTGTGAAACCATACGAAACCTCCTTTGCTGTCATACTATAGCGTGTCATCACGGCATCAATTACAGGTATGGATTTGGTACATTACAGGAGTCCGGCAAATATTGCGTGCCGCCGACTTTATTACGATATTTTGCTGAGCGCAATGTAACGCAAATTTGACTCGTTGCCTGCGGGGTTACGAAATCAGGGCAGGAATTTCATTACAAGGAAAGCGAGAAGCAGGGTCTTGCGGAGGCTTGGGAATGAAGATACTGGAATATGCACCGCTATAACACTTACACTTTATGTTCAACTGCGCCTGATAAAACGAGCGTAAGGTAATACGAACAAAGTTAATTCGGCTGCCTTCCTTTATTCCGATGCACGATGAGGCGTTCCGTCGCATGCGCCCGTACACATTAAAAATATGTACATGTCCCGTGCAAAAAGCGCGACTCTACATGCAGGTGATTGATACGTGGGGCTTAACGTCCCAAAACCACCATAGGATTATGAGAGAGTGGAGGACTTCGAAAATTTCTGTCGCCCGGTGTACTTTAACGTGCACCCGAATTTGAGCGCGCGGCCCTACAGCATTCTCGCCTCCATCGAAAATACAGCCGGGATTCGATCCCGCGACCTGCGGGTCAGCAGCCCAGTACCTTAGCCACTATATAGAGCACCGTGGCGGGGCGAGACTCTACAGGTGTGCTGTGCAGTTGTTAATCCCCTGACTTATTGCCATATGCGAATAGATCGTTCTGGCAAATATGCGTCACAATCTGCTTGGCAATTGTGCATGTTATGTTACGAAGTAGTCCGGCTTCTTTGGCATTTTCAACTTTCGGAGAACGAATACGCCGAACGTTTATAAGCAAGTATACAATTACCCACATTAACTTGGAGATAATTTGCGTCTGCTAACGAGTGCAGTATTGTATTAATGTAGAATAACGATCCAACAAATTTTACCGGTAGCTGACATCTACTGCCACTCCATAGTTGGATATATATATATATATATATATATATATATATATATATATATATATATATATATATATATATATATATATATATATATATATATATATATATATATATATATATATTAATATTTATGCAGGCATCGTGTAAACTTATCTCTTCAATATAAATAGCAATTGTTTTCTAGTCCCCAACTCCGGTGCCTGCATATGTCATGAATGCGACCAACCCCTGCGCGGTCCGTGCAGACAGCTGCCAGCAGCTCTCGTGCGGTCGCACGAGACGTCGCAATGCATCGTCGTCCCTGACGTCTAGACGTCGGGCGCCAAGCCAGCAGCGGCCGCTTGTGCGAGCTTCCTCGAGTCGCGTTTCCGCCTCTTTGCTCTGCTGTTTGCGCATTCCGCGAGGACACTTTATGCGTTTCCGAAACTGACATCTACGAGCGTCCCCGGCTGCTGGGAGACTTGTGTCTGGGGCCGTTATTCATCGCCTGCCTCGCAACGATGCCGGGGTGCTGAGCAGCGCGAAACGGGCGCCGAAAGAAGCGACTGGTCGCCGAGTGTTCTTTGGGTGTGAGAGCTAGCGCACCGCAAAAGAAAAACAGACGCATGTTTTAACGCCAAAGAAAGAGCAGCAGGAAACATCACGAAGCATCGAAACTCGCTGTGCAGTGGGATTTTCACCGCATGCTTGCGCACGGGATTAAGAGGGAAATGGGGCAAAGATCTATGCTATATATATATTTTGACTCAGCCGGACTTTCCCAGTAATTGTTCTATAAAAAAAAACAGCGTTGTGGAAATGCAGGTCTTTGACCGTAATGCCGGCCGAAGGCCTGCGATGTTTCACTTCGAGAACTGTACCCCGCCACGGTGGTCTAGTGGCTAAGGTACTCGGCTGCTGACCCGCAGGTCGCGGGATCGAATCCCGGCTGCGGCGGCTGCATTTCCGATGGAGGCGGAAATGTTGTAGGCCCGTGTGCTCAAATTTGGGTGCACGTTAAAGAACCCCAGGTGGTCGAAATTTCCGGAGCCCTCCACTACGGCGTCTCTCATAATCATATAGTGATTTTGGGACGTTAAACCCCACATATCAATCAATCAATGACTTCGAGAACTGTTTACTCGTCAGCTTTACTCGCGAATGACTAAGCCTAATTTCCGCGTGTTTTACCGATTCCTGGCTCACGGGCCTAGCTGATATAGGTGCAAGTATTCGAAACTCGGCTATTGCATACATGTCGTCCCAAGGCAGCCTTTAACGACTGTCTGCGCAGATCCCGGTGCAAGTTGTCCGACAGCTGAACGAGGCTCAGGACTTGCACGATGTGCTGCGCATGTGCTCGGGTGGCACGAGCACCTCATGGCGGCGAATAGGCACTTACGGCAAGTATACACACTTTCACGATTACAGAATAGATAACACGCATCACAGTCGAATTCCTTCATAACAATATGTAGCATATGGGGACCGTAAGTTCGTTACATTCGGTATTTATTTTAACAGTACAGGTAGAAATCGACATTAACAGATCGGTGATACGGTTCGAGCGATGTATTTAGATACAGAAACAAAACAAAATCATTCTAGGTTTTGAAACCGGTATTAACGACGTATTCCTTACCTGCCGCCTTGTAGCCTTAAGTGAAAACAGACCGAAACGCCAGATGCTGGAACTACAGCAATACTCAGTTCATTCGACAGAACAAGTCTGCGTGTAATGATTTGAAGGAAGAGGTTACCACATCTTATACACCTCTGATGCGAAAAACACGTTTGACTAAGAAAAAAAATGTGAATTGCCTTTCAGCAATGATATTGTCTCTCACGTTAGAAAGTTTCAATTTTGTGTGTTTTAAAAGCCTTTGTTTGCTACAGCCGATATCGCGTAGGTGGTCATTTTTTTTTCGGTTTCAACATGAAAATAATAAACGTCATTGAAATAAAGCGTGACCAACCAAAGTTGATGTTTAGTTCGCCAAAATCGATAGTTCGCTTTATCAGTGTTCGTTATGACGGTTCAACTTACCACGCAAAGTGACATTTGATACGCTGCAACCACGTTCCACGCACCGAGAATCCGCGTGGCTGATGTGTGTGTCCTCCAGCATTTTTTTTTTGTGAACGTAATTTAAATCTAAGTCTATAGTTGTCCATATCAGCAGCTGCCTCTGTTCCATCCTGCATTCCGACTTGTGCGCTGGAACACATACGCTGGCCACAGGACTGTACAGTTACGAACGAGCGAAGAGGTACGAGTGATATTTAAGTTACGGTTTAATAAAAGAGGAACATAGGGCTTGAAATGCACAGCATGGCAAGAACAAGACAATTGGGTGCCGTCATTTGTCTACGTCATTTGCCGTCATTTGTCTGGATCCGGCGCTTCAACTGGCAATTAACAACAACAACAACAACAACAACAACAACAACAACAACAACAACAACAACAACAACAAAAACAAGTACTGGGTGTACGACTGCCACAGGGACCATATAGTGATCGGGCATTCATGAAACAAGTACTGGGTGTGCGACTGCCACAGGGACCATATAGTGATCGGGCATTTATGAGCTCAGCATGGGCATTTATGAGCTCAGCATTTATGAGCTCAGCTAACATGTAAAAGTAGGGTGTTGGAGGAGGGTTCAGCCACGCCCTCACTCCCCAGCTGGCTTGCAAGAGGTTACTTCAGGGGGGGGGGGGGCAAGCTCTGCTCGCGCATGCTGGAACACCACTTCGGTGTCACACTGTCACGAGCTCACTTAACGAAGAACGAACGAGAACATCTGTTTGCGAATCGGGTGTTTATCTCATTGCGATGATGTCGAAGCACGGATCCGACATAACGGTACATTCTATCGTCCCCAGCAGGCTACCTTCTGTGGCAGATACGCTCGTACGAAGGGAACACCATGAGACAGCATTTGCAGGCGACCGGTCACGCCACCTATGAACGTGAGTGAGCCTTGCATATTTGGCATTTACCGCTTATTACGAGCCGCATTGTAATTGCTCTAAAATACTGCCGTTACATGTGCTGAGCTCTGTCACGTCGCTCTCTGCATGACTGTGACCAGGCAGAAAACTGCTGGACGCCCCAAGGAGCAACCGGGCGGACACCATCGATGAAGAGATGATGCAAGGTGACGCACCGGCTGAACAACGGAGTGAGTATGTGCGCTGTTAGGAAATAACGAACACTTTCGGAGGATCCCTGAGCATATTCTTACGAGACGATAACATGAAAGCATGCCTCGCGAAATGCGCCGACTATTCTCATGCACTTTCCTTTTCCCCCTTTTGAGTCGAAGCTTGAGCCGGTCGGAGACGGTACGTGCTTTCCGAACGCGACTTTTGCGGACCCTGGAGTAAGAAGCGCGGAGTTATATATCTTGCTGAGCGCACTTCTGGCATAGAATTAAGCATTGCACCTAATGTGTAACACGTAGTATAGCAATGGCAACCGGCCATAGGCTCGACCATGCATGATGATGATGGTAGTGGTGGTGTTTTATGGCACAAGGGCCAGTTGGTCAAAGGACGCCAAGACATGACACATTTCAGCAACGGTGCCAGTGACAGTGGGTAAGCGCTAAAGAGGCTCCTTATAGGAGTCTGCGCGCCATATTGCACCATATTTTACTAAAGGAACCACGTGGGGATGCAGCGCAGCGCTGGTGTTCACTTGTGTTTACATTTGTATATTTCCGTGTATGTTTCATTCGTGTGTGGAGTTGCGCATAGGTTGCGTACCGCTTGTGTTACCCCCACCCATATCTGTGTGTATTACCGCGAAGTGAACACGAAGCGTTGCTAGGAAAGTGCAACAGCGCGAGCGAGCGCAGCACAGCTGTGACAGACAGATAATCGGGAGAGGGGAAACAAAGCGGAGGCAGCGCTCAGCCACCTCCTCCCACCTTCTCGCGTCCACGCGAGATGGGGAAGAGTTGGCGCATGCGCAGAGGGGGATCGCACGGTCGCCGAGGAACAGACACAGGCCCGAGCAAAAGCTGCTTCGCATCTAATAAATCATAACGATGACATGAAAGGTGCACAATAAATCAACCAATTATCGACAACGGGCGTAACTGTTCTACCTGTTGAAGCCTGGGCGTGTGAAAAAATGGAAAAAATTGGCCCCGTATCTGCATGTAATCAGCAAATGTCGTCGAAAGATGATCGTCTTGCGTGTGGAGAGAGTGTACAAACCATTTATTTCATGTTCTGCGCAAGAAAATCGGTGAATGGTATTCCGGAGGCGCTGCGTTAGAGTGCCTCGAGCGTGCAGCGGAGGCGAACGAGCGCATCAAGTCACGCCACACGTGAGATGTGAGCGCCATCTGGTACTTTTTTTTGGAAAACAAAGCGCGTGGCCGTGCGCGCCCGTCTCAGAGGTGATAAGCTGTAGAACGCGAGGCGACGGGTAGGTGCCACCACCATCTCGTCTTAGCAAAGCGTGGGAAACACTCGCCGTTCCGTGCAAGCGTTGCATGGTAAGCGCTATACGGTGCTTAAAATTACTTATGTATGCGTTTCCTAGCGAGAGATGCATGTGCAGAATATATGCGTGTTGTTATGGTGCCCCAGACATGCACAATAATTGCCTTTTTAATTGACAATTGCGCAAGCACGGACGCTCAACCGTTTCAAGTACCCGATGCCGGTAAGAGTGGACAAACAGACAAATTTACAGACTGACAGACCGAAATATTTGCGTCGAAGGTCCCCAAGAAAGACTATCGTCTTTAAAAAAGGCGGCTGTCGTGCACGCAGAGCGGACCCTGCGCCTGGACAAGCGAGCCACGTGCAGCCCTCGGCCGGTGCCCGTGCGGGTGCCACAGCCGCGGACCCGGACGCGCTCTTCTACCCGACATGCGCCGACGTGGAGCGCTGCGCCGGATGCTGCGGGCACCACCTGCTGCGCTGCAGGGCCAGCGCTTTCCGAAACGTCACCAGACAGGTCAGCATTTCCATTACTTGACCGCTAACCTGAACCGAGGGGTAATTCTAGACGCCTAAAGCACCACAGGAAGAAATAACTACAGAGGAAGAGCGTCAACTCGCAAATGATTTATTTGCAGGAGAAACGCAGGAAATATATAGCCGCACCTCGTATGTGCAGAGCACACTACTTCACCTAGTCACATGACCACAGACATAATCTGAGGAGGTTCAACCGGCATATCTAATCAAGCAACGAAGCGCAAAAATCGAACTCAGACTTGCGCAAGACGACTGACAGATATACTTCCTGCGTTTCTCCTGCAAATAAATCAGTTGCGAGTGGACGCTCTTTCCTCTGTGATTATTTCTTCCTGTGGTGCTCTAGGCGCCTAGAATTACCCCTCAGTATGACGAACCAACTAGCCCAACAACAAGTACTTTCTATGCTAACCTGAAGTTACGGGATCGAATCCCGCTGCGGCCGCCGCATTTCGATGGAGACGAAATGTCTTGGGTGCGTGTACTTAGATTTGGGTGAACGTTAAAGAACCCCGGGTGGTCGAGAAGTTCCAAAACCCTTCTAGTGGCGGCCTCATGGTTAGATGCCGGATTTTCAGGCACTAAAGAAATCGCGTTCTAATCAAAATTTGGCCGTAATGTTCTACCTTGAATGGGCGTGTGAAAAAAATGGAAAACATGGCCCGTATCTCATAGTATCAGCCAAATGTCGTCGAAATGATTCGTCTTGCGTGGTGGAGAGAGTGTACAAACATTATTTCATGTTCTGCGCAAAGAAACTCGGTGAATTATTCCGAGCGCTGCGTTAGAGTGCCTCGAGCGTGCAGCGGAGGCGACACGAGCGCATTTTCACGCCACACGTGAGATGTGAGCGCCATCTGGTACTTTTTTTTGGAAAACAAAGCGCGTGGCCGTGCGCGCCCGTCTCAGAGGTGATAAGCTGTAGAACGCGAGGCGACGGGTAGGTGCCACCACCATCTCGTCTTAGCAAAGCGTGGGAAACACTCGCCGTTCCGTGCAAGCGTTGCATGGTAAGCGCTATACGGTGCTTAAAATTACTTATGTATGCGTTTCCTAGCGAGAGATGCATGTGCAGAATATATGCGTGTTGTTATGGTGCCCCAGACATGCACAATAATTGCCTTTTTAATTGACAATTGCGCAAGCACGGACGCTCAAACCGTTTCAAGTACCCGATGCCGGTAAGAGTGGACAAACAGACAAATTTACAGACTGACAGACCGAAATATTTGCGTCGAAGGTCCCCAAGAAAGACTATCGTCTTTAAAAAAGGCGGCTGTCGTGCACGCAGAGCGGACCCTGCGCCTGGACAAGCGAGCCACGTGCAGCCCTCGGCCGGTGCCCGTGCGGGTGCCACAGCCGCGGGACCCGGACGCGCTCTTCTACCCGACATGCGCCGACGTGGAGCGCTGCGCCGGATGCTGCGGGCACCACCTGCTGCGCTGCAGGGCCAGCGCTTTCCGAAACGTCACCAGACAGGTCAGCATTTCCATTACTTGACCGCTAACCTGAACCGAGGGGTAATTCTAGACGCCTAAAGCACCACATGAAGAAATAACTACAGAGGAAGAGCGTCAACTCGCAAATGATTTATTTGCAGGAGAAACGCAGGAAATATATAGCCGCACCTCGTATGTGCAGAGCACACTACTTCACCTAGTCACATGACCACAGACATAATCTGAGGAGGTTCAACCGGCATATCTAATCAAGCAACGAAGCGCAAAAATCGAACTCAGACTTGCGCAAGACGACTGACAGATATACTTCCTGCGTTTCTCCTGCAAATAAATCAGTTGCGAGTGGACGCTCTTTCTCTGTGATTATTTCTTCCTGTGGTGCTCTAGGCGCCTAGAATTACCCCTCAGTATGACGAACCAACTAGCCCAACAACAAGTACTTCTATGCTAACCTGAAGTTTACGGGATCGAATCCCGGCTGCGGCCGCCGCATTTTCGATGGAGACGAAATGTCTTGGGTGCGTGTACTTAGATTTGGGTGAACGTTAAAGAACCCCGGGTGGTCGAGAATTTCCAAAACCCTTCTAGTGGCGGCCTCATGGTTAGATGCCGGATTTTCAGGCACTAAAGAAATCGCGTTCTAGGCGCCACAAATAGGCAGACAAAACAACGTTTCAGGCCTATAATACCATGCACAATATACTTTTACATGAATGCAAATAATTCCAAGCGAAGACTTGTGCGACCTCTATAGTTACGACAGAAAGAAAGTACACAGGTACCAACAGTTAAACGTAGTCGTGCAATTGTAGTTAGTCGCGCACACTTTCCTCAACACAGTCTCTCCACTTATTATGTAGCATAGTTATTATAGTCAAGTATCCACGTGCACTGTCGAATCAAAACACACATCCGTACCTTTCTCGGAGAAGACCGCTAGGAGGCTAGAAGGGAAACCTTTCTGACCATTAAAAGACTAGAAAGGGGTGTTTTCCTATTGGCCTGGTCGAATCGCGTAGAACGTTTCTCATCTGGCGGTGAACACCTTCGAAAGTGAACTATACGAACTGATTGATTGATTGATTTGTGGGGTTTAACGTCCCAAAACCACTATTTGATTATGAGAGACGCCGTAGTGCAGGGCTCCGGAAATTTTGACCACCTGGGGTGAACTATGCGAACTAAGCAAAAGTCAAGTGCACATCACATTTTTTTTTTTTTCTTTTGCTCCTCAATCTCGCCACACCACGTCAGGCGCGGTGGTGTATTCTCGCCGGCACATTTCGTTTCCGAGACTCGCATTAACAGCTGCTAGCGGTTCTTTTCGGGAGATAGTGAAAATAGAGGACTAAATTGAACCGCATAGAAGTTCGAGCTGTTAGTGTTGCTCGGTAACATGAATAAACGGGCTCAAAGTTCACCAGGAAGCGAAGCTCGACGTTAAATGTTAATATAGGCGCCAATTTTGAAAATAGGCCTTTACAATCACTTTGTGTGCATATGGGCACGACTGAAAAAAAAAAAAAAGAAAGAAGAAACTTATAGGCACTATCAAAACACTATAAAAGCCCTCCTTATCATCCATTCATGTTAATATACCAAAGCGGCACGATAGGAGCATAAGTAACAAAATGAGTATTCGCCTAAAATCCAGTCAAAATCATATCGCGCTTTTCTTACAGTGTCTGTACAATTCATATGGGTGAGTCTAACGCTAACAATTCGCCAGGGTGGTCTAGTGGCTAAGGCACTCGGGTGCTGACCCGCAGGTCGCGGGACCACATTCTGGCCGGGCCGACCACATTTTCGGTGGAGGCGATAATGATTGAGGCCTGTGTGCTTACGTTTAGGTGGGTGGAACCCCGGGTGACCGAAATTTCCGGAGCCCGCCATTACGGCGTCTCATAATCGTAAGGTGGTTTTGGAACGTTAAACTCAAATAATTATTAATTACTCTAACAATTCTAACGTAGCGTTACATTTCGTTTATCGCTCTACAAATCAGATACAGCAATATTACCCTCATTAAAAGCAACCTAATTACTTTTCTGAAATTTTTAGAACGTAATTTAGGTACATTACGAATTACAGCGGGCCGTGAGTAGCAACATGACATTACCATTGCTTTTAAAAAGTTGTAAAATTACTTCGAAATTTTTTTAATTGCTTTTTTTATATGTAGGTTATGCTCATGCAAACTATATTGCAGCACATTAACATAAAAATTTCTGGTATCTTTGATCCACTTCCCACACTGGAGGCCCGATACTCACGTTAACTTGTCTTTATCTTCTCTTCTTTCTTCGGTCAATTTATTATGCCATGCATTAAATCGCTGCCATAGCGTGCATGCTGTAAATGTCCATGTTTTGCGTGTCACTGGGAAAGTCCCAAAGTAGCTATTTCAAGGAGCCCTGCAACACTTTTATATGGAATCATCAAGTGGGTTCATTGAAACAGCTTATTGCCTCACGAATCAAATGCTGCAAAAACATTTTAAATTAAAATCAGAGACGCATAGGATGGAGTTGCGGAGATTCGCCACGCGCCTCAAGCACTTTTTCTCTCATTTCGCACCAGCGGGCGCGCTGAAAGCAAAGGGTGGGGGGGCAATTACGACAAGAAGGCAACACATGCCTTTTTTAGTCAGTGCCTATTATTAACTTGAGCACTACCTAAAAATGCTCATAAAATTTATAGTGTATATTTAGGCTAGAACGAATGTGCAGTGCATGTTTCAGCTAACTACACCCGCAAGTAGACTTTCATTTTGTGTCCTATAAAGAAAAAGAAGCCAGTGAAAAATTCTAACGACGGCTGTCTCAGCATAGGTGAATAATGCAACGTTGCTGAACAAATGTTCAACTGTGTATTTTTGTTACATGCTTAAAAGTTAAGCAATCTGTTAACCTTGAATTGCTTATCAAATTGGCAGTTATTTTGCATTGCAGCAAAAAAACTTTCGCATTGCAGCCATTTCGCCAGAGTGACTAACGAAAAAAGTTCATTCAACAATCTTTGATCATGCAGATTGGCGGAACAAAAAAAAAAAAAAAAGCGCAGATGCATTGCTAATGGCTCGGAACAATACTATTGCGTATATGTTAGCTGAAAAGCCTTGTATAGCTTTCCACGACATGTTCAAGAGCTTCCTCCCCCTCGCGACAGGTGTTCGCCCTGCGGCTGGCCTCGAACAAGTCTAACGCCATCAACTTCGAGGGCTTCAAGAACGTGCGCCTCGTTGAGCACGCCCAATGCCGCTGCGAGTGCAAGGTGCGTGGTTCTTCTGCCGATACACAGGGCCGGTCGTTTGGACGACCGTGAGGCGAATGCCTCATATGTTGTAGAAAGTATGCATATGGCAAAACGTAAATCAAAAACGTCTTTGCCAATCTGTAGTACCGGCGAAAATTCAATAGCTGCAATTTCCGCGGCAAGGGAATTCACGGCGTTAAATAAGGCTCAAAGAGAGATCAAAGTGAAATATTTCAAGTAATACTTCACCGATGGAATAGATTTTGTAGACAAATTCGTTACTCCCAGCGAAGACACCTTTCAGGCCATATCCCTGTATTAACAATATATCAGTCAGTTTAAAAAAGCTGAGTAATAATGACGCACAAGACGGCGTGATCGGCGATTTTATACGGAACATGACGGTGATACCGAAGACGAATATGTGCCTGGAGTGTCCATGTAATTGTCGTTGCAATAAAAAGTTATGCAGACCCTAGCAGACGCAGTCAGAAGCTATGAAGTGGTGTCGCGTCCTGCATTTTTTTTTCGCGTTTTCACGCGGCAAGGGCTTATATTTTTACAGGAGAGAACTTGCTTATCTTTCTACAGCACATTTAAAGACAAGATTAGGAATGCGGTAAATCACAGTGGCGTTGGCCAACTACGGTAGCTCTAGTCTTATGTCAGCACTTAGTTCACATAGAGCAGTGTAGAGGAAGACATGTGGCCACACGTCCACCCTTAGTATGGGCGAGGAAGATTCGAATAAAAGTCAATAGCGGGAAGAAGCCCCAGTCCGACGATAATGTACCGTATTTAATATGAATCACTGCGACAATAAAATGTTTTATCTGACATTGGCAGAAGCTTTTTAAAGCTACCCATAGTGTGATAGCATAATATATGGGCAAACAGAAAATGATGATGAACTCCTGTATGAATAATCTATGCATCTAGCCCGGCCTAAAGAGTCTAACAACCATACAGAAAGTATTACAAGACAGAGTGATAAAAGCGGGAATACTGCGAATAGAATTCGAATCCTCAACTTGCATTTGAAAGACAAATTGGCAGATTGTGCGGCCTGGCGACAAGTAAGGTTTTCCTTTGTAGCTTCGTCCTAGAACCGACAAAGAAACAATGTTGCCGTTTCACTAACCTTTCAGGCTTCTGCAAGACCAATTTGCAAAATCATAACTAACTTTGCCTACCCTATAATAAATGTGGTACCTCATTGAAGCGAACTCCTATGTTCGATAAGAAGGTAGCTTCGTTATAAACAATATTCATTATAAATGTATACCTTCTGTTGAACTGATATCAGCACAACCACAATTTTGATTCAATTATTTACGATATTCGTTATACAGGAATACAGCTGCTGATACGAGCAAAACCGCAATTTTCATTTACTTCATTCTGTACGATGTTCATTGCAAACGGATACTTGCTGTTGATCAGGTATCAGCGTAACCCCAATTTTTGTTTATTTCATTCCAATACACGATAATTGTTTGTGTTAGCTGTATTGAAGGATGTTAAATATACATTGAACAAAGGCTTCGTTTCTTTATCGGTGCTCGGTGTGCCGGCTGCAGGTGCGTCCTCACCACTGCAGCCGGGGCCAAACTTATCGAGAGGATCGCTGCCAGTGCGTGTGCAACAACGCCTGGATGGCGAGCCATTGCAGTGGTGCACACATCTGGGACGCGAGGCACTGTGCCTGCATCTGCCGACGCGCAGACACCGAATGCTCAACGGGCATGCGCTTCGATCGAGCGCTATGCAGGTGGGCTTACCTTTTTTGTGCTTGGGTGTCTCAGAGGCAAACAATTTCTTTACCCACAGGCAGGCGTGCAATAGCCAAGATAGAATTTGAAGCAATTTTTCAGAGAACTAAAATAAAAATTTGGAGCAGGTAACAACAACAAAAAAAGAAACATGGATTTTTTATGATTCAAAACAAGGTTTGCAGCAGTATAAAAAGAAGGCTTGCATTCAAAAATGATCGAGCCCGCATACAACGGCCTCACTTAAAACGAATGATACCCGCATGACCGAGGAAACTACATCATTTAAATGGCACAAAGTCGCACTTACAACAAACGTCTCTGAGCGTGGCCTATTGGTTGCAGCGAACAGAGTCGGTGCTCCGGCCACTTCCCTGGAAACCCCTTTTCACCACCGATAGACCATTGGCGAAGTGCCCATATATTCATATTGTTGAACATCGACCCTGCCTCCGCAGCTCTCTACTTGTCGTTCTCCCCGACCATTCTTTTTTTTGTAACGCAACCCCTCCGTTCTTTGTCCCCCGCTACACTGAGCACCTCGCATCACCAGATGAGGCCATGTTTTCACACGGCCACCGATCGTTTGAATACCGGTCGACCAACCAGTCTCCCCTTAGATTTTGATCGCTGGTATAGTTACACTATCGTTGGCGTCGCCGGTCCTGAGTGCCCAGACCATTTTTCAACATCGTCGGCCATCGACATTACCCAAGCGTCTGCGTCTGTACCTTGTCTCCATCGGTGTGTCGTTCCAGTGCACACGTTTGTGCTACCCCACCCAACGTTCTAGTAACGTTGACCCCATTGGAATTGACAAATTCGCTATTCGTTTCGTGTTTAAAACCTGTTTTCGCACTTGGCTCAGCATGCCCTTTGCATACATAGGGAAGCGCGAAAACGGCTTTTACAAGAAATGAATTGCGAATTATCGAAGTTAGTGGAGCCGTGCAAGTCTGCCAGCACCACTGTGCGATTCTTCGACATCTGCCAGCGCCTCCTAGGCGCTGCCTCTGCGCGCTCAGACCACTCGCCCAAGTTTTCCAAACGCGCGAGTTGCGCATTTCGTGGCCAAGCTACCTGGCCTGCCTTCTTCTTGCGTGTTTTGGTTTTCGAAGTCGCCTTCCCGCCGTATGCTCTCCTATCATCACTCAATCGCAACTCATTTGCGTGCCTCTCGCAAGTCTGGTCTCCTCTCTTCACGACAACTCCGCCCGTCTCCACTGATCCGCAATGCCAGCCACACTGGCTTAAATTCAGAGGTTTCGTTTTTCAGCAGAAACGGGCCCAGAGTAGTTCCACGAGTTCTAGCTTTTACGTCGCGCGTGCGTGTCTTGCTCGTTGTTCATGTGTGGTCGGGATGGCGAACGGGAGACCTTCAGTGCTTTTTTCTGTCGCTGAACAAAACGTCAAAAGTGTGACCGCTTGGATTGGGCCTCGCGTTTAAGACTTATTATAGGTGCCGCATTGTGGAGCGCTTGCTCATATCTGTTACCATCCCGGCAGCCAACTTGACGCGTCCTGTGTCCCTGTATTTAGCCATGGAGATGGTGAAGGCTGCATGGCCGGCGGTGACGGCCACATGTGTGCGAAACCCGCGCTCTAAATCTTTGCGGCCATGGCGAAACTGTTTTCGCGAGGCTGACTTTGTTGATGTCGGACCCGATGCCGAGCCTGAAGCTTCCGAACCGGACCACTCTGGCGGCGATTTCTGGCACTAAGACGTGGGAGGGCGTGCGGCACATCTGTTGCGATAATTTAACTACGGCCAATAATGATGCTAACACTGTGGAACTGTGCACGGATGAGGGCATTGTGAATGAAGTGCACGGCAAGAGCGATTTTGAAAAATCGGACGGCGAGGATGACGTAACTTTGAAGCCAGTGCCCACAAGCGTGGTTGTAGCAAATGGCTACATTAACAGCCTCGGGCAGCTTGGATATGCCACGGGCCTCGATAAAGAGAACGCTGCTGCTTTAAATAAACTCGAAACCATTCTTGTTATTGCTTGTGCTCGTCGAAACACATGCATCACTGACATTTTCGAGAAAAAAAAAATGTGTGCTTTCTCTCGCAACTTTTTTTTAAAGCTGTGTTTTATTTACTATGAACTTCAGCATACAGCGAACGGATGCCGCGTCATGCTCAAGTTCGTTATAAGCGGGCTCGACTTATGTACAAACCACTTAAAATATCCTAAATCAAGTAGAGCGAAATGAACACTACTATTTCAATAATGGTTGTATCTTGAACCACCCACTGAGCCAACAATGATAAAAACCATATCAACATTTGCCTTGCCAGTCAGATCCTTTGACAGGTTGCAAACTCAAATGTGGATCAGTCACACTGGCGACTTCGAAATTCGGAGAATACGTGAAACTGAGGTGAAGAAAAAAAACAAAAAAACCTGCAGCACAGTTTTTTTTAGGGTGATAGGAATGTCATACACTGCTCCAAATGATTGCCAGTAACTTTTTTAGGTGTCAGCGATCATACTAGTACTCAGAATTATACGTCCATACATGCCTGAGTAATTGAACAAAATGTGCCGTGTCCCATGCTTAGTAATGCTAACCCCCTTACAAATCATAGTACGCTTTTCCGCAAAGTACCGATGTACTACGGCGAACGTGGCTTTAACAGATTTTGCACAGGTTAGAACACGGTTAACAAACTTTCGAACACCGCCTCACATCCCCCTCCTCTTTTCTTTTTTTTCATGATAGACTTAGGTATAGGGCATGACTACTCGACTCACTTGCAAGGCACGTTCGATAAGATAAAGTAACAACAGCGGGCTCTTTGGCCCGGAGACGAAACAAAATATCTATTGCCACGATCACAACGGCCGCCGGCAACACCGGTGCTCACAGAACGTGGAGACTGCTCCCGCTTGGAAAACGCGGCATACACTTCCAGCTTTAGTTCCTAAAATGCCATAGCCACGTTTGCTGATTAGAGAATTCGGATTTCCTGTGAAGCGTTGGTGGTTACAGCAACACATTTTTGTCTGCAAGTTGCTTCATCCTGCCGCTTGAGTCAGCATACTGATGGGCATGAGGCGTTGTTACTTTAGCTGGTCGATCCGGTCTCGCAAGTGCCGTTATCTTACACCTTAGGTTAGGGTCTACCCGCTTGGATTGATTGATGGGACAGACTGCAAATGACCACCGTGGCCTCCATTTCTTGCTGAAATTAGCGCAACTGAGAAAATTTTGAGGCTGCTTGAGCATTTCGGTGCAGCGTGGTGCAATTTCAGCAGATGTCAGAGTTCTGGTGAAGCTTGGCTCAAAACTGGCAAATTGTGTCACATTGGCACAATTGATGCAGCTGTTGCACCATTGCACAGGGCTTTGAGGCAGAAATATGGCAAACAAAATCAGTGGATTGAAACTGAAGATAGCACTATAACAGTGGACAACAAACATTAGCATTCATTTAGCAATCATTAGCCAAAGCTATAATGGCTTGTAGTAGTGTGAAAATAAGGTAGTTGAATGCAAAGTGAAGTATCATACCCTATTAGGAATGGGGTGACCCATTTACACCTCAGCAGCTCATGGTCTGAATATAAATGGCAGGTATGACATCATGCCACCACTGTAAAATTTGAATCAAAGGTAAACAAATGGTATATGAAAACTCCAGGCACATGTTTGACATAGTCGTCGCCCTAAAGTACATAATGTAAAGTCCAAAGACGATAAAACACCATTGTAGGCATGGAACCGTTAACTGTAGTGAGGAACTGTAAAACCGTTAACTGTAGTGAGGAACTTCAAAATGTGTAACTTATGGCTTTGCATACATTGTGGACATATTTACGAAACATATTTTGGGTGGAGCTGCATCGAGTATGCAATAGTTGCGGTAAGAAGCCTTCTAAAATAGTGAATTAGCACAGTTGTGTTGACTACCTAAATTGCTGTAAACTTACAAGCTGTTAATTGAGCAAGAATGCTCAGTCAAGTAGTGACACAAGACGGGAAACATTTAAGTTTTTTTTTTTTAATACAAACATTTATAGTATAAAAAATGCTGCTTGGCATTGTGGCTCTTTAAACAGTGACTAAAAAACAAATTACACATACAAGATAACTTTCCATGACATCCAACAGGTTAAAAACGTTTCTCCGTTAAAATGTCTAAAAGCAATATTTACAGTAAACAGATGATAACAAATGGTTATTTAAGAAGGCCTAGCAGAATGTTGTGCATTTAGAAAGCACGACAACAATTTACCAAACAGGATTTGTACACAACAAAAATCACACATAGTAGACACACATCATTCAGATGATATGGGTTACAAAAACACACAAAAAAGTGCATTTTCTAAAAACATCATCCTCGCAAAAGCTCGAAACAGAACAATTAGACCTAAAGTCCGTAGTACGAGTTCACAATGTCTCAACGAACGATGTGCACAGAAAAAAAAAAGGGAAGCCCCCTTATATACTTTTAAATGTTCATTCCAGCTTACCAACAAAAATCCCGTGCACCAAAAGTACCATTGATACCAGCAGCTCTTACCATCCCATATAATCCTTTTCTTTCTACATTTACCACCAGTGTATTATGCACACCAAGGGGTTAGCGTAATTTTGAATTAATGTTTCATATATTAAAAAAGGAAAAAGTATAACGCATCGAAAGAGACAGCTTATGAGAGATGACTGCCAGCCCTACGTGAGCTTGGTGCTTGTGCAATGTTATGGAAGATTACATGGTGAACTAGTGAGAGGCACTGCGTTTATGTCTATCTTAATCCAGTTGTTAATGTAGCGATAGTTAGTCTGCGGCTGAACAGTGCTGCCTGACACGAACTAATAAAAGACTGTAGAACAACACACAGCTTTTTGCTTAGTCTATGTCAAGTACTTTCAGTGTCAACTTATACTGAAGCAGCAGATTTCACTTTAGTTTTAAGCAACTCACAATTTCTGTGATGATATCATTTCTGCACGTCTCAGCTTACAAGGGATCCAGGTTTATGAATGGAAGCTTTTGCTTTATGTGTGTGCATGTGTGTGTGTGTCAAGTGAGAACAAGGTATCCTTAAATTATTGCTAATGAGCAGAATTTCATTTAAGACTTCAAGTTCGCAAATATTTCACCCTTCAATCCAGCTGAATTCAGCTCAAGACAGTTTGCAACGGAATGCTACATAACGTGTAGTGCAGATAAGCTTACTGTTGTGTAAAGTTAGTACAACTGCACATATTTTAACTTCTAATTTCATGGCACAGGATATGCAAGGCTAAAAAATGTATATATATAATACTAAGTCTTTCACTTGTATGACCACTCTGGTCTGACACAGATCACACATAAATGATGTGGTCTGTAAAATTATGAGCTGCTACTATGTACAGAAAGGATTTGGAGTAATACATATAGTATGCTCATATTTTCAACTTTCAGATGTGTGAAAGATCTCTACAACGTGGCAGTGATGACCTGAACGACTTCAAACCACGCCTCTCTGGTGCTTACCAAGATGCACACTGCCTTTGTCATTGCTCCACAAATGTGCATTTGCACATGTTATTTCATGCTCATAACCTCACACATTGGTCTATGCCGCCCACTTTTTTTTTCACTGCCTAACTACAGCAACACAACACCCAGAACAGCAATATTGATAGGGCCATACATGTACGAGTTTCCATGTCAAGTTCGCACCTGCGGTAATAAAAACAATCTCTCAACATTTACAAACAATAGATGTGTAAAAGCTTATTTACATCTTGTACAAGTTGGTGAGATCAGCATTTTATAAAATGCGCACCCTCCTGCCTTTGCGTAAGCACCCACAAGCAAGTTGTCATAGCCTTGCCTTGGAGAAAGGCCTGACCTTTCACATTTTATCCACCACTTGTGTACCCATCGATGAAAAACTAAGCTGCCATAACAAACCAAGCTAACTTGAATTACTTAATCTAATGATTACCTCACACACAACTATGCAGGTGCCAAAAGCAGCTGCTAAGTACACCACATAAACTGATGATGACAGAAACACACACAGACAAAAAAACTATGGGCAGGTGAGCAGGGAAGGGACAACAGATGAAAAATGCGTTGTGCAGTACTTTCTGAATATACATCAGCTTTTAACAGCAGCTGAAAAAAAGCTTCCTGCCAATAATAACGTACAAAAGATTCATTACGCTACCTTTGAATTGAGCAAAAGAAATATAATGCCACAAGGCTCTTCCCTTCCTTGGTAATATAAAAAATTTTTTCTCTTAAGTTGACTCAAACTTAATTTTGTGCTTTTACCACAAGCATGATCGTAATAAAAAGGGCCTTCAGTATAGACAAGCAGCTTTGCGCACTGCTGAAGTTCAAAAAAATGTCAGGTTGTGCATTTTTTCTCCTACAGCATAACATGAAACATTCCAGCTTGAACCTCCCTGTAGCTGAAAGACAAAAGAGAGATCATCAATAAGACTGTACCTAACCTGAAAGTTCTAAACAGTCAAACCTCATTACATGAACGAAAAAATGAAAATATGTTAGTTATATACCGATATTGGCGATGTACTAAAGCTCTCCTGACAAATCATGCCCTCTCGATTCCAAATTGAAAAGAATAGTAGGAATGAGCAAATGATTTAGGATTTAAAAGCAAAAAGTATGGACAAGCAACTGGATATTACCACGTAGCACACATTCCAGCAAATGAGCAGCCCTTTCCAAAGCGCTAATGACTGCAGCCAATTTAGGAACAGGAGTAAAGTATGATTTTAAACCAACTTTCAAAACAAGTCGTTATTTTTTACTTAACTCACATTTCCTAAGCTTCTCAAGAGCTTGGCTTTTCATTTGATGCAAGAAAATGACAACCAAATCATTTCATGTCAGAACCTCTTTAGGTCACTCAATGCTTGTATGGGAATGAATCATTTATCATACTGTTAGGCCACGTTTACACTTGAGGAGTGAAACGAAAACGCCAGAACAGCCGGACAACCACATCCGTGCGCGCCGGAAATGTTAACATTTGTTCTGCCAATTGTGTGTGCCACCACCACTGCCTCGTATGCTACTTTGAGAATTCATTCGATTTTGCCTGTTTTTTTGAGCACTAAATTTCGTACTGAATTCTGCTTATTTAAGCAAAGTACTGAAAAGAAACAGCTCGCACCTCTTTTAAATGTTAATACAGGAGATACGCCAGCAGGAACGACATGAGCGAAAGCAACGGCGATGGATTGAGCTGGCTGTGCTAAAGCAAGACACATCGCGGCATGCCAACCCAATGCTGCTGCACTGTCTCTTTCCAGTGCTCTCGGCGATCGTGATCCAAACCAAGCTCAATATCAAAGCGACCTCGTTGAGGTCATGAAGCTTTGTTGTGATGCACGGATCGCTTGCGATTAGAGCCAATGCGACCCACCACCAACGCCTTTGCCGCCATGTTAAATCTGCGGCCCGCCGTTCAGATCACGTGGTTTGAGCTAGTGCAGCCAAAGCCGTGAAGCGGAAAGACGATCCGCTTTCACGTGACTGGAAAGTTGGTCTCAGACTTTTTTTCGCGCTGACCTCGCAGCACGGTTTCCAGGCCGTGTAGGTGGCGAAGCAAGGGAGTTACCGGTGAGTTTTGCCACTTCCGCAATTTTCGACGCCAATCAATATTACTGTTACCCTTTAATACGAAGGGCAAAATTGCTCAAACGCATGTAAATAGTACATAAACATGTCCACTCACTTGAGCTGACTGCTCAGAAGGTAGCTCTCGACAGCAAACTTGACCTTGGGTATGTTCTGTGCACTGTGCGCACCCCTGCCAGTGATTATCCTGAGAGTTTGCTTCTTCTGCAGACACCAGGATTCACGCTTCTTGAGCTTCACATAATTCTTGAGCACCTGAATGGCCTCTTGCACGTGCAGACCATGAAGGTCCAGGGTGTTGTCATCAGACTGAGCATTCCTTAAGGAAAATAAGGAACAGCACTGTCAGGCAAATGTTCTTTTAATTGAGCCTTTTTTACACCAAAAAAAATCATCCTGGCGAACTAAAACCTTGATATCAGAAAACGTTGCTCTGGGAAGTTAAATTAAATATTTTGCCAGCAAATAAAAATGAGCGCTATTCTTGGTAGCTTGGATCATTCACATCTTTAGGAATATTTCAGCAGTTATAAGAGAAATCCAAAGCTATGTCTAATGACAATTACAAGCTGCTAAATATGACTAACCTGGCCAGGTATGTCCTGAACGAAGTTGCTTTCGGGTTATTTTATGCTATAGTATCACGAAAGACTAATCACAACCGAAAATCAGTACAAAGTGAGCATCAAGCTGACTGCAGGCAAGGCGAATGGTCACATAATTTATCCTGCATACACTGCAACTAATAATGAAAGAAAAATGAAGACAAAAGTAATAAAGAAATCAATCAATTACACAGACACAACAGTTGTAAATAAAGTTATAACTATGCACTTTTACCTGAGCTGCAGCAATTTCCATGACGCTCGTTCATTTGCTTCCCTCATTTTTTCTGCATATGCTCGGCCCTACAACAGAGTGAAACAGATATATATGCTTTTTTTCTCATAACTCGTCAAATACTGAAAATACAGTGGCCAGTTGTCTTGCCATACGCAAAGCGTTCAGCTGTTAAAATGATGCAAGATCTAGCAGATGTGCCAATGAGGCATTACACACCACTTGCATTTCTAGACAGTTTTTTTTTACTAAGCGGCTGTTGTACAGGTTGTGTATAAACTAGTGGTTCAATATGTTTAGCCGCCATCATTAGTACCAATATTTTTGCTCATTGCAGGATGAAGGCCTATCTGACTACGATCATCAATTCAACATTTCTTGGAGGAAACAATTCCGTTTAAAGCTTGCATATTTCTACACATAATTTGTTATGCCCATATATTTTGTTTAAAAAGCAAAACAGAATGACTCACAAGGACAGGTATTAAAAATGGACGTAATGTATTGTCGAAATCTGCATAATTTCAACACATGACTGCCAGTTAGAGTGATGCTCCCGAAAAAACACTCGATAGTATGCCACTCTTCCAGTGTTACATGAATCACCTAGTAGCCACATTCACTTTTATTTTGGCAGTCATAAAATAATGTCTCCCAGACCTTCCAGAAGAACAAAAGGCAAATATTATTCTGGAACTTATAGAATAAGGGTGCAATCATGATGAAGCGCACTGTGAAACGGTATCAGAAAGTATGGCGCAGTAACTATAGGAAGGTTATATAAGAATAAGACGTTCGAGCCATAAAACACCATACCAGACGCTATGACATTGCATGCTTTCTACAGCACCAGTTTTATAAACCTAATTTAGACGATACTCATGGGCGATCACATAAATACTCGCCATCTACCAGCATGCAAGGTGCTGACACATACAAAAAGCTTTATTATTTCATAGGAAGAGCATTGTAACCTGTTGCGAGTAGAATGCAGCCACTGTCTTCATGCCTCGATGGTAGGCCTCCTTGGCCTTGCGAAATGACTCTTGACGCATGTGGTAGTGCACAGTGGCCTCTCGACGAATCACGTCGTAGTCCCCTACAAGTCGCAACCTGTCGTACATGTCTTCATGGCCTTCGACGACAGGCTGCCATGCACTGTCGTCAGCTTCCTGCTGCAATTGTTTGCCAAATGGTATAACAACCGTTTGTAAGATCAAACTAGTTTTCTCACGTGTTTCAATGCAAACCAGTTTTACCTGGCATTAAAATATATTACAACGGACGGGGGACTTCTATGTAAACCTTGGACTGCAACTTTCATTGCAGACAATCACTAAATGACCCAGCTAGCTCTTCATTCTGCACCACATGAAGTAAAACAAGGCCAACAACTTCACAGCAAGCTTGAGCATCATGCAATATTTGTTATCTCCCGAGGTTATGTGAAAGTAAATCACAAAAACTCAAATAATAAACTTCGGGCTTTGCACGCCGTACAGGTATGAGCAAACGTTTCAAGATGGGAGCATCAGCAATGAAATAAGATATATACTATATTTTTGTACCACGGCTCTCCACAATGTCAAATTGCTTCAAGAGACTGGTGCTAAACTTTTGCACAGAGGCCATGCGATTTCATTTCAGCCAGCATTCCCACACTTTGAAATATTATTATTATTTTGCACTAATGGCCTGTAAGCCATTGCTTGCAGACGTCGATGCACACCCTATAACTAACAAGACTTGCTGGTTGAAGGATAAAGAAACGATTGAACACACTGCCAGGCTAGTACGGTATATAACTTTTCTCCTACATCTTTTCCCTAAAACCAGCCGCTAAATGTGACAAACATTAAGCTAAGAAGAAATCAGTGGCCTCACACCATCTTCAAGTTTCGTGAAAATGACAGAGGTTTTTTTTACAAAAAACAGAACTTTAGTTGCTAAATCAAAATCAAACGGGTTACATACAACAGTAGAGTTTCTTTAGGTGAACATGGCAAACGAAATTGCCAATCAATATTTATCCACAATGAAAATTGAAAATGCAACATGCTGCAATCAAATGACTTGTAAGCTGCAAACATTCATTTTAAAGTTGGAGCTTGCGTTAGTGTATCTTAAAACAATGAAAGACACACCAAATGTCGCATCAATGCAGGTAAAACAAGTGTGTGCACTGTTACCTCTGACATGCTTTCCATTTCAACAAGATCCACAATTTGCTTTTCAATGTTTTCCATATCATTCTCTTCAGGAGCTACTCCTAGGGTTTCGTTGATAGTCAAGACAGACTGGATCAGCGAATAACTGCAACACAAGATATGAAACTTTACAAAAATTCAACACTTCATTTACCATTTTTTTGTGCAAATGCCTCGCCCTCAAATATTGTCCGACTGTTTAAACAATTTTCATTCTAGGTCAATCTTCTAAGTTGACCTGGGATGAAAGTATATGTAAATGCTGCACAGACAACAATGGTACCACTCTATATTAATGATCACAAGAGAAATACAACCGACCAACCACATCTCATCATCAGTTCATATATTTTTTTCATGTTCCTCATTTGTTGGAGTCCGCACAAATCGGTATCCCTGTTTCCACAAATGTTAGCACAAAAATCTTCCTCGCGATGACGGATAAAGAAAGCCCCAACTACGAATTTAATGACATGCCTCCAAAACTGCAGGTTTATGTAGTTCACTAATATGTGCTAGTAATAGACCGAGCACAAGTGCAACGCGGTTTGAACGTTGACTCCCTTCGCTCATGTATTAGCGATACATTTACCAAAGAATATGAGCGAGTCAAATGTTAAGGCAATAACAGCACAGAACGAAAAAATGCCCAATCCTAACAAACATAAGAGAATCGCTATAGCATATGCTAACAATTAATCCAAATGTGTTCCCACTATGTAATAAATAGGAAGGCAAATTGTCTTTTCTTTTTTATTTTACCATACCACCCAGTAAGCTACGGCTGGGGACACACAAATTAAATTAAACTGGCAGTTCAAAACATGCAGCAATTCATGACAAGCTTGATAATGTAACTGAATGTGCAGACCAGAATGGGAGGACACAACTTGGGAGGGACTCTGGCCACTTCAACTGCATTATAAAAACATGTCTCGATAGGTCTCTGCTGCACATAGAAGTATGTGTTTATAAAGCACCAGAGCACCTGCTACGCCAGAATGCTATTTTCTGAGAACAGTACGTAAAGCCATTAGTATTACCCAGAAAGGCCGAAAATAGATGCACTAGATAGCCGTCACAATATGAAATGCCACACAACTGCCTGAATGTTCAAATCAAGGTATCCCTCACTGGTGGATACCACCGAAAATGTTACAGGAAACGTGGCTTCTTTTAATGCTCTTAAATTGAGTAAAAAGTTGACACTTAGAAGAGTTTCCGCATCCGAAACTTCATAATACTAGTCATGCATTGGCTGTATGATGCCTCAGGCAGTCTGGTGAAAGCACACAAATTTTATAGCATGTCCAAAAAACAGGCAGCTTTGTCATCTTTATCACTGGTATCTGTCTGTAAGTTTAAGTCGATATTATAGTTTTCTCACAACAGCCTGCCATCCCTAATTTTGTTTTTTTTCTTCTTTTCGTGCAACTAACTCATAGCAAATATTGGTTATAATGAAATTTTTGTTTCACTCCACTTGAGTATTGTTATAAGGTGGTTTGCCTGTACAGCCAATCCTCTCCTGCCAAAGGTTGCAGTCTGTGTAAACACATGCACAATCTCTATTTGGTTCCACAAGGCACAGTTTGTACAAGTGAGCAGTAACAATGGCAGCATGGCGATTTAGCATGGATCACCCTGTGTTGTAAGTGAGTGCTGATAAGCAGGGTTGCTTGACAAATATTACAGCGCCTTGCATTCCATGCTGTGTCAAGTTCACTGCAGTCAAAGTTTCCAAGCAATTTAGATGTGATGCTACAATGCACAGTGCCTACACAATTATTTAATTTGTTGACACAAATCCACTCTGTAAGACAGAGAGAGGCCTGGATTTTTTTTCTCCCATCAAATATTCTGGTGGGCGCAATGGCAATCATTTTGAGAAAAGTGACAAGCACCTGCCATCTTCCATGAACGGGTGAAGCTCGAGCAACCAATATGCCAGCATCTCCCAAGCAGTTCCCTTCCTGGAAAATTGTTTATCTACCAGAAGGTCTTCTGAAGTACACTTACTTGCTTGCAACGAAGATTTCATCCAATGCTTGTCTATCAACACCTGGGAACTTCTCATAAAGCTGCTTGAGCTTAAGTTTGGTTGCCATATCCATGTAAGTATTGTTCTTTGTCTACAAATAACAGACAAACCGATTTCAACATCAAAAGAGACTAACTCTTTCCAGGAACAGTACAATGTGAGTGCACATTAGAAACAATTTTCTCATCCAGTATTGGCCGATGAACACGGGAGTGAAAGAAGACCCGATCACCCTTCATACCCAATCTTTTCTTTTCTCTTCTAAAGCTGCTTCCATTTCCATGATTTCACGAAAGCTCATTTCGTGCGGTGCCTTGCTCCAGCGTGGATCATGGTGCAAAGCCGGAGGTGGAACAGCAATATCTGGTGCGCTTTCTTTTGAACTACCCTCACCACCTGTTTGCGAATGTTGCAGTTCACCTGGAAAGAAGGCAAACTAGTAGGTTATCTGCGTATGCAAGCGATTGCATATTTAACAGATAGCCAAACACCAAACAAGCAAGAGTGATTGATAGGACTGGAGTAGAAGCAACATCAGAGTGATTAGAGCTTATTTGCCAGAATTGATAGCACAATGCAGTTTAAAAAATCGCAGTTTGAATAACAGACAACAAATGAGTATACACCACACTTTTGACCATATATATGCTGTGACCAAGACTTGCAAAGGAAAAATGAACTAACTTTCATGAGAGTTGGCTGCCATTTCCAGCATTTCGTCCTCTTCCTTTGACATTCTCTGCTTTAGAGTATCCATCCAAAGTTGATGTATTTGCCTGGCAATTTCACTGCTGATCGTGACATTTAGGTCAACACTTCGGAAAGCATCTGTACAAATGAAAAAGTTGTGAATGACAGCTGTGCAGCAGTGGACACGGCGGTAAACACGAAATTCACTCACTTACCCATAGATACATGCAGTCCTTCAGAACCAAATGTTTCCACAAGCTGACATGCAAATGAGTGATCAAGGTGGAACGTGAACTCCCTGTCAACGTTTTCTGGCCTTGGTAGAAAAGTTTTTATCGAACTTTTCTTCAGCTTTTTATCTGCAGGCTCTTTTACAGTATGTGCGGTCTTAGCCAGGGTTTCATCATGCTTTTCTTCGTTTCCTGCAGGCACTACTGACGAAGCAAGTGCTTCTGGATGTTGGCTCTTTGAGCTCGGACTACGAGTGGTGTCCGCATCACATTCTTCATTAATAACGAGTGGTTGAAGGTCACAAGCAACATTAGAGTCCAACAAGAGATCAGCTGCCCACACATGATCGCCATGACAGTGCTGAAATATGTCTTCCAAATCAGGAGGCCTTACACCTGGCATGCACTGCTGGAGCAGCAACAGCTTACCTTCATCATCTAGGTCATCTGTAGGAAGGTCATCAGTGTCTGTGCTCCGAGCAAGCGTGTTTGGCTTATAAGCAGGAGCGAGGTGTATACACTCCTCATCCAGCATCTCTGCAGGATCTCTGGCCCCCACAACACGCAGCTCGTCAGATTCTCCAAGAAGAACTTTCCCTACTACGACGAAATCCGCTGGATCGGCATAGGTTGACGCATCCGTGTAAGCACAAGCACTGTTCTTTACTTCAGTTTCCAGGAGGGCAGGCTCAAAAACGTTGAACTCTGGAAAAGTCCAAGTGCTACTGCGGACAACCTTTTCCAGCCCGAATATGGGGCCGCGAGCTGAAGAATGTTTCTGCTTTGAAGTCTCGGCCACCTTGGGTACTGTGTGTGGGGACTCTATCTGACGACTAGTGTCTACGCTGTTTTCGCTAGTCATCTTAGGATTCACCTTCCCTCTGCGGAACCTCTGCTCTCTTGGAGTATTTGTAAGAGAGCCCAGCGTTTCTTCAGGAGAGTGTTCCCAAGGAGCAGTGAAATCTGCAAGTATTTCCATTATGGGAGTATTATCACCCCTTGCTGAACCCCCGAGGTGTCTAGGAGAATCTCTCGGTGGCTTCGGCTTATTGTCTTCCCTTTCTTCGATAACATCAGGCCAAGCATCTGTTACAGCTTCTACCACTGTATCGGAACATTCTGACTCCTCTTTTATTTCTTCTAGTTCCGTTTCAAGCCTGCAGCTAGCCTCTTGTTCTGGGGCATCCCTCTCTTCAAGTATGGCTTCATTTACTGACACATTTGATTGCGTGAGTGATGACAGTGCTTTGCGGGAAGCCCACAGAAAGTCATCATCGCGCTCTGTCCCATCTTCTGAGTCGTTGCCATCATGACCAGATGACCAAGAGTCCGAGTTCTGACGGCTCCTGCTTCCAGACTCTTCACTGTCATTTTGAACAAGAGCAATGAGATCTCCCAAGCTTATAGTTTCTTCAGGGGCAGCTGTGGAAGTTTTCTCGGATGATGATGTGCTTGGATTTTGATGTGCTTCGAGTGGTAGCTCCAAAGGAATTTTATCACGTGGCTTGGAAGGCGATTCGCTAGCACTGGTTTCTTGTATTTCTAAAGGTGTGCACGCAGGCAAAACTGACGAATCAGGGCTTTTAGGAAACCGGCCAAAGCTTAGGCACAACAATTCTCCTGTAATGTTACGATCATACCGCTCCAACATGGAGTCTATAGTACGTCTCGGAACCCCATGCATATTTTTTTGTGTCAACTGCCTAGCATCAAACTTCCAGGTAGTATCCGGCTCTAAAACGCACACATGATATTTTGCCCTTAATGCCAAGGCCACATAGGGCATCATCTCCCAGATTTCCACGTTAGTGTTATCTATAATGATTGGTGAGCGACCTTCCTGAATAAACTTCTTGGCCCTTCTTTTATTCCACTCGTGTGCTTCTGACAACCTCGATCTATCAAAGTTGTATTTGCCACCTTTGCAAAAAAACTGGTCTGCACTCAACACAACACCTCGACCACATATTTTCTGAGCTAAAGTTGTCTTGCCGCTGCCCGGAAGGCCTCTCATCAGCACCAGCACATTCTCACCCTCGTCCAACAAGCTGTGTATCTTCTGGAGTTCATTTTCTGACGCAGGCGATGCTTCAGGCTTGTGGCTAAAAGAGGGAGTAATGTTAAAGCCTAACTGGCATCCCGAAGCTGCCAACTGGCTCCACGCAATTGCAGGAAATGGACCTTGCTCTTTCGAGGCATCAGGGCAGCGAGTTTCTGTGCTGGCAGGCAGGCATACGCTAGGAACAAAGGGCGCAGCGTTCACATAGAGGGCCAAGTTCGAAGGTGAACTAGCGGCGGCATGTGCATTAGCAGCCAGGGGGCTTTCATGCTCACTCTCCTCGCTAGATTTGTGAACCTCTGCTTCAGAGGTAACAATGTTCTCTCCTGCGCCAATACTTTCACTGCTGGTGGATGGAGACAAGTTGCGCGACTGCAGTGGATGGATGACACTTGCTGCACTAGCACCAGATTCCTGTGGTAGCAGAGTGAAGAGAGCTTCTAGGGCGTTGTTCACTGAAAAAAAAAAAATTATGATGACTTATCAGTGCACAAACTTAAGCGCGATAATGATAAATATAATCAATCGCAGCTCTAGTACTATGACCAAGATATACACAATTTATCTTGTTAAATAAAATTGCGGCCCAAGCCTACTCTCCTCCAAGCCATGGCACTTTCAGGGTGCGCTCGGAAGGATTTCTTTAGCTCAACTCTATCGTTTAATGTTTGTCTTCTTCCCGCCAAGCCGACAATCGGTTGCTAGACGTAGCTAGAATTAGCGTGGAAACGGACGATGCCTACCTTCAGGCGTGCAATCACGCTTGACAATCGCTATCAAAAAAGGCCCTGGAACGGCATGCCTTGTGTTCCAATGAAGTCAAACAATGGGAGCGCCCGACAACACGATCTCAAAATTATGCACCCTCCACGTGCACGAATTCGTCAAAACAACAACACGGATACGAAATGTTTTCCTTACCATTGAACTCACATTCGGTGAGCACCATGTGTATAACATCAGCGTCGAGTTTGCCGTCGAACATCTCCTGAATGTTGCGGAGGCACTCCGCGGGATGAATATCTTCGCCAATGGCAAAGTTGTTACGAATGATGCCATCGGGCTGGATGTCATCGCCAATCGGTTGCAATTCATCCGGTCTGTACAGAGCGCTAGTGCTAGCCGCACCATCGGCCGCTGATCTTTGTTGCAGGACACGCTTTTTGCGGGGCATGACTGAAACAGTTCGCCGTTTTCCGTTACGTATGCAGGTACCTCAGGTAAGAAGTTTGCTCGGAAAAGAACACAATGACACTACTGTAGAACGACGCGCTGAACATTTTCCCACCCCTGGTGACACTCGGCAGCACTGCGATTTCATGTACACTGTTTACAAAGAAAAACTCCATGTCATTTTACAGACACGGATGACTTTGAACCCTCCGATTCTCTTGTCGATGTTTCCGACACTTGCTTGACTCGTGTCGTCTGGAGGATAACCAAAAACGTGAAGTGGCACAAACATCGCATACATGAATATAAATTAAGTGTAAATGTTATTGTCATTCAACCAGGACTGTAAATAAAAAATTACATTTTAATTTAACATACAATTACTTTGGGTAAGTTATTTTTCATTTAGGCGCTCGTTCATGTTATATTATGAAACGCAAATAACACGCCGAATCACCTTGTGACTGTTCAATCATGCTCGCGATCAGCATCGAGTAGACGAATTGAGAAGAATTGTTTCAATTACGTTCATTTAAACACAATATTCGGCTCCTTATCTTGGGTAAATATAGATGCAGGGCACTCAGAAGGTAGGTTAAACTTTACTTTCCTTTTACGTCTAAACCGTCCTCGCTAAGCACGATTTACAGCTAGTCCCCTCTGAACAGTTTGCGTGACCGCACACTGCTTTGGTGTTGTCCTTTGGTTTTTTTGTGAGATATGCGGACTTGCTCATTTGTCATTGACGGTCATAGCTGTAGGTTTTTGGCAAGTTTTCACTAGCTGCGCTGTACTTGCTAACGTTCTTCTTTTCATGATTCGGTGTGCGATGAAAAAACGAATCTACCCTAAAACGGGAGCGAAGTCACTTCGTGCGATTAGTACGGGTGGCTGTTCAGGTAGCGTAGCCTCTGCGCTTTTTGAAAGAGTTGCTTGAAATATCATGTATAGCAAGCACCAGCCGTGTACGTACGTGCCCGTTCTTCTACCGTTACCTGTTGGCGTAGGCGCCTAACGCAGGAACGCCCTTGGTATTACGCAGCCTCGTCGATGTGCGGCATTTGTATCAACTAGTGTGCCATACGAAAGACTAGGCGTCGTTTGAACGTTGCGATCACGCTCTTAACCACGGGGTTATTTCGGATTGCCTCTAATGTGGCGTTGCACGCTTCTTTTTCTCGTCCTAAGACCTTGCCATGTAGTAGTGATTGCATCCTTTTATTTTTATTGTTGATCAAAATGGCTCTCGTTGGATGAACAGTATACGAGCGGCCGCACCATTTTCTGGTTGCTCTCTCAACAAAGTGCGTAACCGTACGAAGCTTGGGGATTGCGATTCGGCTCAAACGCGTCTTGCGGAGATATTTCGTACGTACTGCTTTCATTTAAAAGGCACTGTGTGTTAGATGGAAGATCGGTGACTATAATCGGTAGCTACGCAGTTAGGCTGATTAATGGTGTGGACGCTGAGCGATCGTTTTTTGTGTTACCCTGTCATCTTTGTGCGGCACATCAATACAGTGCATAACCCTTTCCGGTTAATTGCGTTCACTGAGCATCCGTAGCATTCGTAACCTTGTTTGTGCGCTTGCATATTTTGCTTTTTAATTTTCGGACGCTTGCGTCCGACTGCGACGCACCTCTCGATGCATCCTCATCAGTTTCCCCGTTTGCTCTCTTTTTTGCATTTCAGTCACCGTGGCGCACGCTAACACAACAAATTCGTCCTTCCTCCAGTATTCATTTAGGAATCTAGTGAGTGTACAGATTTGTTTCATTGGTCTATTGGTGTCTGTCCTGTTCACATGTCATCTTTGGTTAATGCTAGTCACATTGGTGCTCTCAGTTTAAGACACTTGAACGAAATCTGCATGCGGTGTAGCGTAGCAAAGCCTTCTTTCCTTCATTGTTTTTGCACTGCGCACAATAGAATTTCATTGTGGTTTATACGAGTACACATACTGTTGACATGTTGACACAAGTGGTTCTGAACGCTATCTTACGTAAGAGTAAATGTTTGTAACATTGCTGCCATGCGATCAACTTCTATGGTTTAACTAAAGATCTGGCATTTAGTCATCATCTCATTTCGCAACTTTGTCTTCTTGCACCACGTTTTTCTGCTGTGCTGTTAGCATAAACGGTCAGAATATGAAGATTGCACTTGGCTTCATTTCTTGAACTATAATTACGCATCAATAGTCTAACTCCTGCGATCGTGCGCATCATTGTTCAGTTCTTAGGTCATCCATCATTGGCTTGTTATGAATTTAAGTTTAGACCTAGGCCATCACAATCGAAACTGTCAGTTCGAACCCTAATGTCATACCTTTTCATATTTCCTTGCTTGTCACTATGGTGTCGCTGCCCATGCTATAATTAAAAATATGCCTGTTGGAAGTACAGTATGATGAGCGGCAGTACACAAATGGTACCATTTTGCTGTGCCTCAATTCTTCATGGAATGCCTTTACTTGCAAGAACTAGTGTTTGAGGAGCATGATATAAAGCTCTAATTTGTGGCATATGAGGCCAATAGTGTGGTAGGTTAGGCAGATTTGTGCTTGACAGCCACATTTCTAAGCACATATTTTCTTGTCTCCCCCTTTAGCCTTCTCCACATTGAGGGGAATACAGAAGAGTGTCTCGAAGGGCCAGTCGGCACATGTCAATGTGTTCAAACTAGTGCAAAAGCAAAATAAAGGCTAAGAAACATTGGTGATGACAAATAACTGTGCACAAGTTTATCGCGACTGAAGGTGTAGGCTAAAAACAAAATTAAAAAACGTTAATTGTCACATGGTCGGAGTGAATAACTTAAAACAAATGTCCACCACGAGTCAAGATAGCACAGTTAACTTAACAAAAACTAAATCTCCTTTTCAATAAGCATGATTGAGAGCTTGTTGTGACGCATGATTTTTTTTTTTAATGGATCATGAAGGCTTCAGGGATTGCGTGCACTATCAGATTTCGATCATGTGAGGACCACACTGTGGCTGTGCCCACTCTTCACTGACTGTGTGGTCCTCACACGATAGTGAAATTGGATACAGCGTTAAATCTATGAAGCATTCGCGATCAAGCAGAAAAGGATAGCGTGCATCAGTGAGTCTTCAATCATGCTACTTAAAAAGGAACACCAAGAGTGCTCTCTTTTTCTACCATATTCCATTTCTTCCTTTGTTTGTGTGCTGCGAAATTCGCCATCATGAACCAAAACCAACTAGCCCAAGCTACGACATCTATAAGTTAATAAGGAGGTTGATTTCTACAGCGGAAGCTGCTATGAGATCACAAAAGCAATTTTTGGTGCCGTAGTTGTCTGTAACCGCTATCATGCCAAATAAAAAAGGATTTTCTTCTGGCCCCCTTTGAAAAAACTCTCTTGTCGATGGCGGCCCTTCAGTTGAGAAATCTTGGCGCTGCCCCTATTCTCTGCTCCGCAGAATGACAAAAGATGGCGAAGCGGGAGCTTCCCAACTTGATAAAAGTTGTGATGTATGGCTGAGTGGGCATCTTGCAAGCATACTTGAACTAGTAGCTTCAGGAGAGTTTACAATGGGTTTTAGAAACACTGGTCTTGCAACTTTCACTGTGACAGGGTCGCACCTTCTGTACAGGCCTGGCGTTTTTTTTTTTTTTTTGTCAAGTTGTGTTATGCCGACTCCTGGCAGACATTCATTGCAGCTTCATCATAGTGGTCATGTGCCAGTTTATGGTCCTTTTTGTTATTGTTTTTATTATATAGTTTTGGTGCAGTAAATTTGTGCACAGTTGTTTATCAGTGCTTGTTTTTTGTTCCTTTGCCTTTGCCGCATTTTCACTGCTTGGGAATATAGTACTACATTAGTATATAGAGTGCACAAGATCTGTATGTGTTGATGGCAAACTAATCCACTGCATACAGCCAGCTTACTCTTTCTGCTTTTCGCACTGAAAGCATCTGGAGATTATAATTGCATGTATGTAGTTAAATGTGAAACTTACATTGCTTCATGATCTCACTCCTGTAGTCTTAAAATGCCGGACTAGGTATCGATACCTCGCTGCCTGTTCCAATTATAATGCAAGGCATGATAAAGCACCTTCTTTTGTCAGCTTTTACAGACTGGTGGGTACTTATTTTGAAGCTCCATTGTATCCACTATAAGAAACTGTTTTTACTTGATAGTGTCTGCTTGTTAGTGTCTCATGAATTATAAAGCAGTGTCGACATTTACATAATTTGTCGCCGACTGGCTGATTGAATGTAGTCATGCACGTAATGCATGTTTTGTTATAAGAATGGTATGAGAGTGTACAGGCTTAGCAGTTCTAACTTGCTTCTTTATTATTATTATTAATATTATTATAATTATTATTATTTTATTATTGTTACATAAGAGGGGCTTCAGAAATCTCAAAGGCATCATTGATAGAACCATCACATCACGTTTCACCATTTTCTTGCACCTCATGTGACAAACATAACTTTAATGGCTGGCACTACGATAATTGGTTGGAAATGTGATTGCGTAGCTCTGTGAAGGCTTGTTGTTCTTCCGTTGATAGAAAGGGCGCATCTGGCCGTGTCAGTCTTGTAAGAGGTTCCGCAATTTTCCAAAATCCTTTGGCAAAACAACGGTAGTAGGCACAGAGTCTGAGGGATCGCTGAACAGCCTTCTTGTCTCCAGGACGAGCGAAATTGGCAACAGCAGCCAACTTTCTGGATCTAGTCGAACACCCCCTGGGCTCACCACATGGCCAAGAAACTTGAGTTCCTGATAGCCAAAGTAGCACTTTTCAGGCTTGATAGTAAGGTTCGCTCTCCTTATTGCAGTGAGGACACTTATTAGTCTTGATAGATGTCCGTCAAACGTGCTTGAAAGCATGACCTCATCCAAGTATCGTCCAAGACACGTCTGCCACTTTAGTACAGCAAGTAGAGTGTTCATCATGCGTTGACATGGGGCGGGAGCGGAACAGTGACCGAAAGGCAGCACTTTAAATTCATAGAGCCCGTCCGGAGTCACGAACGCGGTTTTCTCACGATCGCCCTCGTCAACTTCAATTTGCCTGTACCCTGACTTGAGATCTAATGATGTAAAGAACTGGGCATGGTGTAGAGGGTCTAAAATGTCATCAACCCGTGGCATGGGGTAAACGTCGCGTTTTGTGACTTTGTTAAGCCGTCGGTAGTCGACGCAGAAGCGTAGTGTGTTGTCTTTTTTCTTTACTAGGACAACCGGTGACGCCCACGGACTTGTTGAGGGTTGAATGACGTCATCGTTCAGCATTTCTTGTACTTGACGCCTAATCACCTCTCTTTCCTTCGGGGACACATGGTATGGATGTTGGCGAAGAGGCTGCACCGACTCCTCGGTAACAATGCGGTGTTTTATAACGGTGGTACGTTGAACTTTCGATGCTGTGGAGAAGCAGTTTGAGAATTCCGTCTCAAGGTTTAGCAGCCGCTGTTTTCGTGAATCTGGCAAGTCTGGATTAGTGAATGCGGCTGCCCAGGTCAGCACAAGCTTTTGCATGCGGTGAAGTCGTATCCAATGTGCCGACATTGGAAAAGTCGGTGGTTTCACCGCGGAAAGTGGCGGTGCTTCTAGGAACGTGCTGAATTTCATTGCTGAAGTTGGTCAGCAGAGCTCTAGAGTGTTTATTCTCTAACTGAACAAGGCATCAGGCTAAGCAGATGTTCCGCTTGAGCAGCAGCGGGATATTTGCCTCTGCAATACCTTCGTAGTCATTGAATTCATCGAAAGCGTCACAGGTTACCAAGGTCAACACGCTACTCTTCGGCGGTAACGTGACTTCATTGTCAACAATTCTCAAAGCATTGACGTAACTGCCGTGAGAGTTGCGCACTAAAGCGTGTGCTGTAGAAAACGTCACCTGCGACTCTTGCAAGTCGATCACGGCTTTGTTGTCATGCAGAAAGTCCAGTCCGAGAATTAGGTCCCTTGAGCAACTCGGCAGTATTACGAAATCTCCGAGATACATAAATCCGTGAATACTGGCTCGCGCTGTGCACCGTCCCACCGGAGTGAGAAGATGGCCTCCTGCCGTACGTATGTGCGACCCAGCCCACTGGGTAGAAACCTTCTTCAGCCTGCAGGCAAGACCCATGCTCATAATGGAAGTGTCTGCCCCAGTGTCGATTACCATTACTTCTTCGTCGTTCACAGTTACCGCAATGTTTGACGTCACCACTCTTCATACCACGTTTGACTGCGTCTGTACACCTTTTTGCTGCCGTTGCTGTTGTCGTAGTGGAGGATCTCCCGTAGAGTCAGCGTCAGCGGCCTCACTTCTGGAGGTCGCTGAACTTAGTTTTCCCGATTTGTAGGACTGGGTGAACAGCGTCTCGGAGCGCCGCATTTATTGGCTGGGCTCGGTGACCTGTAGCGAGCAGGTGACGACAAGCGGGCCTTTTGTGGCCGATGTTCGATACTGCGACGATTCGAGGTGAAACTCTCTATTTCCAGTGGTCGCTTGCCAGGTCGTGGACGAGGAGCATTAGGCGAAAATCCATGGAGACCCACAGGGCGGTATGAACATGTTCGGTAGACGTGTCCAGCTTCCCCGCAGTGGAAAAAAAGGGGCCTGTGGTTGGATGTACGCCAGATGTCACTCTTCCTCGGTCGTGCTTCGGCAGTCAACGGCGGGCTGCGAGGACAGAAGTTTACCTCCATTTGCTGAGCGCGTCGCTCATTGGGGTAAAACACACTGGGTGAACTGCACGATGCAGGACGTCGCACAGCTTCCGCGTAGCTCATTTCGACGGAGTGCCTCTGTTGTGGCACCTCTAACTGCTAGGGAGCGTGAACGGTTTGTCGTAGCTCTGTGCGTACCATCTCCGCAGCGGAGAGCTGCTCTACAAGTGAAGCAGTCACCTGCATCTTTTGTAGCTCCTCCTTAATGAGAACTCTGATTAGCTCTCGCAATGCACTGATGTCATTGCCGAGAGTGATAGAAGTGACCTCACTTGGATGTACACCACGGTTATACTGCCTGGCACGCTGTTGAAGGGCCCTCTTCATGGCAGTGGCTTCCTCATGGAACTCCACAAGTGTCGCAGGCGGGTTTCGAATCAGGCCAGCAAAAATTTCTTCTTTAACACCATGCATTAAGTGGCAAACTTTCTTGGACTCGGTCATAGAGGGCTCCGCACATCTGAAAAGCCGATCCATGTCCTCTATGTAAGTCGTCACCCTTTCGTTAGGGCCTTGAGCCCCTGCCCCTATAGCACGCTCCGCTGTCTCTTTCCTGTCCTCTCGGGCAAAGGCCTTGAGGAACTGCCGGTAAAACTCATCCCATGACGTAAGCGTTGCTTGATGGTTCTCAAACCACGTTTTTGCGAAGTCCTCAAGAAAGCATTACACATAGCGTAGCTTACGCTCTGGGGTCTAATCGTTGATGACGGCGACCCGGTTGAAATGCTCGAGCCAGTCGTCGGCATCTTCAAAAGCAGCTCCGTGAAATGTCTTTTGTGTCTTGGGCTGGTTGACAACCAGGTGCACTGGTGCTGGGGCAGTGGCTTTAGGCAGTGTTTAGTTCTTAATCCTCTGACGTTCAGGCATCAAACCGTGCTCGAGTTCCTGGAGACGACGGCTGGAACGTACGTGCACAGGGGTAAGCTCGGCTGAGCTACTTGATGGGCTTGCGCCAGGGGTGCTCTCTGGGGATTATATCATCTACCGTAGCCCGCACCTGCACCAGAAAATGTCACAAGGACACAGGGACGCAGGCACAAAACAGGGCGTTTACTTTCGTAACTAAAGGCCGAAAGCACGAACACCAGAGCACGCGCCCACACAACTACTTCGTTATCAGAGGCTGGCCGCTATAGTTGCCAGCCTACATTGCATCAATATGAACCACCTAATGGCTTAAGAAAAAGGTGTTGCAGGACCTTTTAAATCGTCTAAAAAGTACTAGCAAGTGTCCGGAGTGCCCGTGCCCTAAATATCACAATAACACGATGAACAAGTTTTTCTTTTGGCGCTTGAAGACTGGATGCATCATCGCATTGTACAGTGGCTCGCTCCGGTCCCTCACTTGCGGTCATCTTGGTGCACAACTACTAAAAGTATTTGCTTTTTTTTTTCCTTGTCATTTCACTAAGGCCAGTTTTACTGCTGGATATTATTGGAATCTTTTGTTTTGCCACAGCATCACGAACATTTAGTTCATGCCAAGTCTGTCATCTGAGGCCAGCTTCAATGTCAAATTAAGAAGTAATTCATATTATGATATTTATTAAACATCCTCCTTCTATTTGCAGGTAACTTGTGAGTTCCTGCAACTTTATCACTGACGCACATTTTTTCAAACTGGTGAAAGGGTTATGAAAAGCGACATTGACGACCACCTATTTCTAGCGCAAAGCTTCAAGGAAAGGCATATGAATCTATCATAAAGAAAGTTCCTGAAGCCCTCGTAAAGAAAGGGACTGCCTCGAAAAGAAAACGTTGGTCCTGATTTCGATCCCAGGATGAACTTATTTTTGGCAAATCGGCTAAGAAGCATTCTGGGAAATCTATATGGACTTCGTTGTAGCTAGCCGTGTATTATATAAACGGGTGATTCTTGATTTCTCCTTTGATTCTGCAACTTAAAACATAGGTGTTAGAAGGTTTTAACAGCATTTCACTGCAAGGATTCAAAGCAGCCTCGCGTAGTGTCTTGAAGCTGAGCTCTGGTATTGCGACCGGTCCTATGATGTGTGTCGATGGGATGCTTGACTATTGTCCCTATTGTGTGTGCCTGTACATAACCAGACGCTAGTGGAGTCGAGCAGCCTGTTGACAGGAAACTGCAGCAACCGCACTTGCAGTGACCAGCCCCCACTCCGTAACCAAGCTCAGCCGCTAGACTTCAGAATGGGCCCCCAGCGTCGCCGGCGCGCTGACAACCACGATGATGATGCCTTTGGCGGGAACAAGCGTCTTCGTGGGGGAGCACACATTGGGTGAGTTTTTGCCTCGCTCCTCTGTTGGGTCTCAAATGTCAGAGAGCACTTGAGTTGCCCTGTGAGACTTCCACGTACAAATTGTTTTTAATGCATATGGGCGACTGCCTTGGTCAGCTTATCGCTTCACGGAAGATCAACAGGGAAGGGGCCACATCTAGGCAGATTGCACACTCGGTGCTGTTGTTGCATGTTGCATAGTCGCATTTTCCTTATGTCATTTTCTACACGCAGTCACAGAGTGCTTCCGAGATGCTTACTAAAAACGTGTATTCCCTTATAGAGAAAAAAAAGTGCAGATTTCAGCTAAAATCGTTTTATTTCATTGAAAGAAGGCTTTGGCAAGTTAACTAGATAGCTAATGCATTTTTAACACATTATATAAGGTCAGCTGCATCAGTAATGGTACTATTCTTAATATTGTCATAAGTCAAAAGAAGTCATGGTGGCTTGTCTTTATAATGTTGCCCTTTAACATGCGAGCCAAAGTTGGTCAATGAATGTCTTGTTTAGCTACCTGCTATGAAAATTTGCAGAATAATCACCTTCAAGTAATTTTTCTCCTGAATAGTGCTGTATGCTTCATGCAGTCTGTCAAAACATTGTTTGAGGGAAAATAAAGTGAGAAATAAATACCCTATTTGTCCGAATAAGGATGAATTCCAGGAGAAGACAGAGGCTTGAAGAGATGAGAAAATTCTCGAACAAGGAGTGACACACCTACCCTGTTCAAGGATGTCTCATTCCCTGCCTGTAGTATAATCTGATGGTTCCTGTAGATAATGTTGTCAAGGAAAACAGAGGGGACATTATTTTGTTAGCTTATATCTCCTACTATAATTAATAATGATAAATGAAAATTTAAGGGGAAGAAAAACTTTCTGCCATGGGGAATTGAACCTAAAACTTCAGAATTTCATGTCTTACGTTCTACCAGTTGAGCCAAGCGTGTGATTGATCTTTAGTCCAATTTGTTGGGTATTTCTGTATGTGTGAGTTCTGGGAAGCTTCGCTCATACCCTGGCGGCAAATGTGGAACACACTTTTTTGTTATGAGGAAGTATGTGTAGCAGGTGCCATTTCTCATGTGCTGTAATGCAGCTTGAATAGTCCTTTTGCCATGCTCACCTTCATAATCCTTGTGCCTCCAGGTCTAAAAGAACTCTCTTCAATAGCGAATCTACTATGTCGAGCTTTTCTGAGAAGAGGTGCCTTGCTCTCTTCCAAGAATACACCTGTAAGTTCAAATTCATGTCACAAACGCTTTACGGTAGTTTTGGAACATTGTGGCTATAGGCCTAGTCAAACAAACGCTACGCACCGGTACATTAATGCAAGATTTTTAAACGCACCTGTCTTGTTCTGTATTCATGAATTCTCGAGTGCCTAGGCAAGGAAAAAAAAAGCAAAACTGATGAATACTGGGCACTCGCACTGTAATTGTCTTTGTGAAAACCTGAGTGATTGTAATGTTACAGCACGAAATTGATATTTTAATAATTGAAACTAGGTTTAATGACTGGTATTTATGGTCTAGTTAAAACTTAAATGTTTGCCCCACCGTGGTGGTCTAGTGGCTAAGGTACTCGACTGCTGACCTGCAGGTTGCGGGATAGAATCTCGGCTGCGGCGGCTGCATTTCCGATGGAGGCGAAAATGTTGTAGGCCTGTGTGCTCAGATTTGGGTGCACGTTACAGAACCCCAGGTGGTCGAAATTTCCGGAGCCCTCCACTACGGCGTCTCTGATAATCATATGCTGGTTTCGGGACGTTAAACCCCACGTATCAATCAAATCAAAACATAGATGGCTGGAATTTGGCGTGATCTCAAACTGTTTCTCAGCTAGAACAAAGTGAAGGGTTGATGTTAGGTAAAAAATTGGTAGTTCTTTTCATACACAATCGTGAAAAATATTCCAGTATAGTCGATATGCAAGATGTACGCTCTCTTTTTCATCTCTAATGTGTAAAAGTTTATTATTACTTTTATGCCAGGTCATTTGGCATCACTTATATTTTTTTGAGCTCATAACTATTAAATATAGTGATTAATCAATATAGTTTAAATGGACATAGTGAATTATCAGTTAGAACAAAGTATGTAAGAATAGTTAATAATAATAAAGTATTGCTAATTCACATTATAATGAATTTCAAAATGTATTGAAGCTCATTTCATGTCAGGTGAGACTTTGACTCATTGTTATTATGTCAGAAATAAGATTCTGATAATATTGTATACTGTAAAATGTTGTAATAACTATGGCAAAGGCACATATTAAGTGCTCCATTACTGCTGGAATTATGTGATATTGTCTGATGACAGCTATATTGATCCTCGTTATAATGTTCTAACATTTGGTGTAAACCATTCTATAAGAAATATTCTGTTTTCCAACTCTTGATGAGCACCAGAAGAATCATTTCTAGGACAAAATAGGGTGGGGGGGGTGACATCTGGTGGTGTTAAGTAGAACATACAATATTTGTGATGTAAAACTCTAAGCTAGATTAAGTGTACAATAAATACCTTGAAAGATTTGAAAAAAGTGAATAGCTCGTGTGAACCCTACTTGATTTACTGACAAGATATCTGAACTGATTTTTTGTTATCCATTGTTGCATACTGTTGTTCGTGCCCTTGTATAACAGTTTATTAAAATAGATGTACAGCCCTGTTTGTCTACCTTAATCCATTGAGTGCTTCTCACATAATGACAGTTGACCTAAGAGGCACTGGCTGTGATTTTTTTTGTGGCAGTACAAATACACCGAAAACTTGTGTGCATCTTTTAATCTATTTCTTTCTACTGCTAGGCTTTGAATATGGACCAGTTATACCCACCCCTCCCATATATCAAACTTTAGCGGTTCCCATTGCACTTGCAGCGGTGGATGAGCCTAGAACGATGGGACCTGAAGCTATGGAAAAATTTTGTGAGGATATTGGCGTCGAGCCTGAGAATGTGAGTTCTTTGTATTATTTCACAACCAGAGTCTGATGAACTATGCCTCTTACGAGGAACCTAACAAAGCGTTTATGATTTTGTGAAAGTCCCAACAAAAGTGCGTTGTTTGAAGTGGTTGGGTTTGTCTGTTTGACATTCTGTACTATGGTGTAACCAACCTCTGTTTGACTAATTGTCACTTGTGTAACACTGTATGGATATACTTGAAAATGTATTGATGCCACCCCCTTTTTTTTAAGTTCTACCTTCTCTTAAGTTTAAATCAGTGGTGCAATTGTCATGCAACAGTTACATGAAGTCCTTCTACTTATGTTACTGCGTCGGTGAAATACTCAGAGGGATGTCAATAATCTTAATATTGTTCATCGTAAGCATCTAATTATCCAGTAATTTCACCATCTCAATCAGACCTCTCCCCATCTTACCCCGCTTGTGCACCCCACCCCCTTCCAGGCAATTCATGATGCTGTATATACGTGTTAGCCCACCATTCTCTTTATTTCCCTGAGTAAGTGCAGAAAAGCTAGGAGGGGGATATTTATTATTCAGTACGAATGCATTCAAGCCTGCACCAATAGGCACACACTACAGGCTGACATCGTGAGTCAGACGGCCTTCGGAGAACATTGCCGAAGGCATGGCACGGGACTATTTCATTACAGAGGTGTCGTGCTTCAGTTGTCTGGGCTTTTCTGCCTTCTTAAGTTGTATTCAACTATAGATTGCTTACCCTTAGCCGCAAGTATACACGCACACTATTAGCAGACTGCTTTTATTGCAGTGTATTTTTATTGGCACAGTTCTGTATAAAGGTTGAATCAATAACATTGCCTTATGTGCCGTATGTTCCATATGCAAGTCATGGATGCTTTAATTCTGTGAGTGCATCCATTGCATGAGTACATATGCTACTTAATTTCTTTTGTACTCACTTATTGTTTATATCTTTGCAGATTGTCATGCTGGTGCTAGCGTGGAAAATGGGTGCCAAGCACATGGGATTCTTTAGTGAAGAAGAGTGGCTTCATGGTCTCTCGTCCCTACAGTAAGTCGGCCATTATTCATGCGCTTGCGGGAATGGTCATGACACGAGCGATAGTTGTAGCATTGAGGACGTGCAGACATAGTGTTCGCATACACACGAGGCAGAATTTGGCATGAACATTTTGCATAAACACATGCTCAGGCTCCAGAGAGTTGGGAGACAATAGCGGTACCGTTGGAGAAATCTTGCAACACTGCAAGTACATTCCTAGAAACTTGTGCCACGCTTAACACAGGGCATGGTAGTTTAGGTAAAAGAATCGATGGCTCGCTGCATTGTCTCAGTTCTTAAATCCCCTGCTGCCTTTCATGGTACCTTGGCGGCTAAGCTGTTGCAGTGCTAAGCTCAAGTTAGTAGGTTCGAATCCTAACTACAGTGACTATATTTTGATAGGAGAAAGATTTTACAGTGCATGTCTTTTTGTTTGCTGGTTGTGCAGACGACGGCTGGGGATATGATTACAGTGATTTCACTCCTGCATAAAAGTGCGCCAAATGAAGCTTACTGCGCCGTCCTGCTGATATCAACGGAAATTGCCCCGAACTGCTCCAAAGTCGTTGGTTTGGGGCCGTCTATCACCGGCAATAGCCACGCTGGCGTGTCAAAACATATGCAGCTTATTGTCAGGGCCGCAAAAGTCACTACCACGTTACTAGAATTATTGTGCTGAATGATCAGTAGCTTGACGTGCGTCCCAAGTAATCCCGAGTGCCGGTATAACTTTTGTTGTGGAAGTCTGCTCAATGGCAAAACCCGCTCTCCGCAGCAGCTCGTGATGTCTAGCGCAATTGGTAGTGTGCCAGTGTGGCACACTACTAATTCATCGACAGACGTCGCTCGTTTCAATAGTCGCACTGCGCGTAATTTAAGCAATTTTCACTAATAACTGCTCGTGGACCGGCAGAATGTCTACGGCGGCGTGTTGCCATGCTTCGTGTCCATAGGAGAAGAGCACGTGAACAGTGGGAACGTGGTGGCACTTTTCCTCTAATATATGTAATTCACGGATATTCATCCAAAACAGCTTTTTCGTAATTCTGTCCTGTAGGCACTCTTGCACTAAATGCCTTTAAAAAGTTCTGCGCTTTCGAGCTCTTGAGTACTGGGGCCCCAGTGCGAATTTTATGCATTCTTTTTTTAAACAAATATCTCATTAATTGTCGGAGCAGCCGCAATTTAGTTTTAATACACGTAGCTAGTATAGAACCGGTGCACCCGAATATCGAACTCCCGCACTGCTGTACACATGCTATATCGAACGCTGTGCCGCGCTGAAGCCCAGAAAGTGGGTCTTTCCTAGGAAACGTTGATCTACTTTCAGCCGCGTTTTAACAAGTTCCGATTCCTTTGCTCGTGCGGGTGGCAAGAAAGCGGCATTAATCTATCGCGCTAATCTGGTTCATTGCGGGGCACTTGCGAGCACACCATTACGTTTGATGCGTGATCTGCGCGCCTTAACGTGTGGGCATAGTGTTTTTCAAAAAGTCTGATTGTCGAAGACACCCAAATGAAAATTCAAAGTGATTCGGCGATATTGCAATCCCTTCCTTATTTGTTAGCGCACAGTGGTATGCGATCCTGAAAAGCATGGCCTTCAAAATGTGCAATCTCGTGACGTATTTTTGGTGGTTACAGTTTTAAAACGCATGCTTCAGAGGCTATGGTTCTTCTAGCTTTTTGCATCAAAGCAGCTGAAAGCAGCTACTGTCAGCTATGAAGCCACAAGTTACATCGACATCACCAACATGTCGACGATGGGAACATGGCGTTGTCTTTGGTGCCTTGTGGGCTTGTGTACTTTTCACCTCATTCTTGATAGATCCTCATTCGGGAGTTAAACAGAACTTCAACCCGCATGTAGCGATTAAAATTATGACTCGCACTTAAAGCAACTTCAAGTAAAGCAGCGTCGCATACTTTGCTTGCGGGCCATGTGATTACTTTGGGTGCGTCATGACCACTGACAACGGCGTACGGTGCCTTAGTGAATTCTGCGACATAGCGTTTTTGGGCACCATCTCAGACAGTTGGCGACTTCATTGGTGCAGATGACGACTTAGCTGTCTCATAGTGCATCGATGCTGAGATCATGGCTGCTTTTACCGGAGTCACGGAAGTCTACCATTGCATTTATGAATATGCCAGTGCCTTCCCTGTTGCCGCTAACCATCCTTTTAGCGCTTTACAAAGCTTGAAATGGCGTTCTTTGTCAATCAACGTTTTTGTGGCCGAAGGAGCGGTATTCGCATAATTGAAAAGCTTCAGTCATATTGAGGATGACTAGAGCTTGATGACACGCAAGAAGCAAGACAAGTTTATGGACTGTTTTTATGCGAAATGAAGTGTGGTAACTTACAGTCACACTTTGTCTTCATTACACTGTGAGCATATCATTATGTAACGATTTTCCATGCCTGAAATGCTTTAATTTAGGCCTTAAATATGCGTATTTTGTATTTCAAAGTGTTTCGCGATCCCCTTCAAGTTCGATATATGCGGGATCGACTTTTAGTTGTCACATGCCCTCCCCCCCTCCCTCCAACTCGTGCTTCATGCGTACATGCAGTAGTCATTTTGGCAATGTACAAAAAGGAGAAAACCATTATGAAAGTGCTAGTTCGTAGGTATGTTGTATCATCACCAAGCCTGTTTATTGAAAATAAACATGTAACAGTCAATGTACAGTAGGCTCTCAATAAGTGGAAATCTGTAAAAATCAGGTCTTCCAACTCTGGTGATTTTTCGAGGTCAATGGATCTCTATGAAATTTATTGGATATGTTAATTTGCACGTTTGAACCATTCATGGTGTATTTCAGGCTTGAGAGTTTCGTAGATTCTTCTAAAATGAATTTTATTACTTGCCTCCAAATTATCACCTCGCTTGCCAGAATTAATGGCAAAATTGTGTGTGTGTGACGTTGATTTTTGCAAAGTGGAAGCGATGGAGCTGATGTGCCAATGCAGCGTCTGCTTTAGATTGTGTGAGAACAATTGTCTCTGATATCACTGGTTTAGTACTTGTATTCTGCACCCCTGTCCACCTTTTGGTAAACAAAGCTCCTGCTAAATGGAACATATTTTCCTGGTCCTTTAAGGTTTCATAATCTAGAGTCTACTGTAATTTTGGTGAAATGAATTGAACCCTCCTAATATACAGTTACATTGGCAATACAGTGAGATTGGAGCTAAGGATTTCATATCTGAGTCCATTCAGGCAACTCCTGCTTGTGGTAAGAATTCGCAATCTATAATGGAAATACCTTTGTCAGAAAGTTGTGGCATCAACAAGCCACAAACCTCGCCTTGAAGTACATGAAACAGTATTCTAGTATTGGCTGTTTTCTTGCATTGTTTCGATACTGAAGATTCATTTACTTTTCCTGTGGCATATATTTTGCCGTCTATCTTAATACCTTTGCGGAACTGGTTACTATCTGTAGTGGATGCACTACTATGTGCAAACACTTAAATATTTTCTTTTACAGGTGCGACACGATTCAGAAGATTCAAGGGAAGCTGGACTACTTGAAATCTCTGCTGAATGACCAAAATCACTTCAAAAGTATCTACAGATATGCCTACGACTTCGCTAGGGTGAGCTGTTATGGCTGTTTGAGAATTTGGACACACACCATTTCTATTATGGGGCACAGAAAGTTCATTTAGTAAATATTTCTAAGTGTTGAATTCTGCTATTGTAATGGAAGGTGCAGTAAACTTGTAGTAAACAGAAATATCTTTAATTGAACTGCTGCCTAAATGGAAGAAATGCTTCTTATATGATTAGTTTCAAAGTAAAAGTCTGCAACTTTGTTGATGTCTTAGTAAATGGAATTGAATGGAACATATTTTTATGGTCCCTTCATGTTCTATCTAGGGACTACCATACTTTAAAAATGTGTTGTGAACTTCAGAACTGTCAGCATAGCTTCTGACTCATGATCTCGATATAAAATGTCCTATGCGTAGGCATGCCCATGGGGAAAAAGCGGGAAGGTTCTGTCCCATGATGGTTTAGTTTGCGGGGTTACCGTGTCTACTCGCGTAATGAAGGCACTTGCATAATAAATGCACCCCTTACTTCAGTCATCAAAATCTGGATTTTTTATTTTTCCTGTGTAATAAACGCACCCCCTACATTCGTCCACTGCAATCCTGCTAACTGACACCTGGTACCTCCTTGCCCATTGGATCTCTTTAGCTGACCCCTCTGCGCCACTTTGGCTCGCTTCCTCCCCCCTTTTGCCCGCTGCCACACGCCATATAATTTTTCTTTCTATCTGTGCGTGGCACATACCCAGTCTTTTTTTATATATTATCTATGCACCACAGTGGGGTTCACTAACGGTGCGAGTGTAGAGACATCGCAGCGAACAAGCACACAGCGAGTGAAGGTCACGAAACTTCGCCAGCCGAAGGTCGCTTCCTGCAAATACGAAACTTTAAGGCCCAACCACAAGCACGCAATATTCGAGCGACGACGACACTGTTTGCTGTCGCTATGGCTGTTGCGAAGGGCCATTCATCGTCATCGCATTGCAGGTTTCTGGAAAACCAGAAAGAAATGGCTTGTCGCCCCAAAAGAAATCGTGACTATCTTTGCAACATGGTCTCCCATTCTCGCTTTGGTTGCAAGCGAGGCGGCCGCCGTATTTTGTCGTTAAATCTTGTTATCGATGGTTTGTTTCAATGCTTCAGTAGTAGCTTGCTGTAATTTTGGTTGCTTGCTACAATGTCAACGGCGGCGGCGCGGTCGTCGTGTGAGGTTGCCACAAAGCTGGCTAAGTGCGTCGTGGCGTTGTAGCACAAGCTTCTGGGCACCATCGAGATTGCAGCAGATACTACTGTTGCGGGTAAACGATTGCGAGAAAAGAGAGCCATGAAATGCTTCCATGTGCGAGCATGGTTATGATTGTTACACGACTTTGATTTTATTCACTTTTGTCCCGCTCTGGACAGTACTGAACCTAAATAGCATTGTAAACATGCTTACATCCCCCAACGTTTCAAAAAAATAAAATTTCTTTTGATAGCTGTACAGTGCACTAAGCTGGTGCATAACAATTACGTGTACTCTGCTTCTTTCCTATTTTAAAACAGATGTTGCTTGATGATAAGGTGCACACTTTGATTCGTGCTGAGGTGGTACTTTTTTTTTTTTTTTCTTCAGGACAAAGATCAGCGTAGTATGGACATGGCGACAGCAAAAGCAATGCTGCAGTTGCTTCTTGGCAAGCATTGGCCGCTGTGTGCGTCGTTTCACCAATTCCTCGAGGTAAACAACCAAATTTTTTCAAAGAGTGCAGTTGTGCTCGGTTATATGGGCACATCCTTCTAGTAGTACTATGTACTTGAAGTTCGATGCGCGATACATAACTGTCAAGTGGTGCACATTACTGTACGATAGTTAATCCTGTCAACTGTTAGTATGTTTCATTGCATTGCATGACAGTGTTGCAATTAAGCTTACTGGAGCGAAGCTGTCATAATGGACTTGACATTGGAAGCCTTCTCAGCCTGAGCTTCGATATTTTTGTAAACCTTGTTCATCTTTGCACCTTCTTTGGTCATTAGTGCTAATGGGGTTAAACTTGATTCATAAGCAGACAAAATAGGTTCTTAGCCTTTTGTTGGTAAATTGGGACTAGAACATTAAGGAGCACTAGAATCATCGTGTGCACTGGCATGCGAGCAGGCTTGTCACATGGTATTTTTTGCATTTCGTGGGCATTTGCAGTTAGTAGGAAAACACTAAGACTTAATAGATATAAAAGTCTAAAGTGTTTTATCGGACGCTTATCAAACCGATGAACAACTTTATCATTGGAATGTCCGGCCCGTTTTCGTTGCTTAAGGAGTTATTTAATAAAAGTGACGTAATGAGGCAATTAACCAGAACACAAAGTATAGTCTGACTCACTCTAGGCAAGAGTTAGCAACATGCATTTGATTGCATCGTCATTGCATGTGTCGGCATATTTTTAAACTCTAGGTGAAGATTATATATATATATATATATATATATATATATATATATATATATATATATATACACACACACACACACACACACACACACACACACACACACACACACACACACACACACACATATATAAGGGGCGTGAGTGAGAGAAAAGGCAGAGTGAGAGTTGTGGAAATAATAAAGAAGACAATAAACAAATGTCTGTTACATGAATACACTTACATTTCTTTGGTTAGTACGTGAATATTATACTTATTTCGCACAAAAGCGGGGCAAAAGTCGCAATATCATAATCCTGCGACATCGTTCTGAATGCAACCATGGCACCGGACTCCTGACTTGCCACTGGCCCATGGATGGGTGGCAGAATGGTTATACTTTATTAAGGAAAAGGAAACAGGCATAAGCAGCCCTCTGTGAAGTAGCTGCCAGACAGGATGGCCAACAGACCATTGTCACTAGAAGAGAACCCAAGACAAGTTTTAAAAAAAATGAACCGTGCCAGCGCTAGAACGTGCTTTGCTCCCGATGAAGTGTCCTATAGGGGCCGGAGCCCCTGAGACCCCGCGTCATCTCTGCCTATGCTTCCACAGTATACACAGCTCGAAGGGCGAAAATGGCTGTTACTTTTTTCGTTCTAAGGTTTCTATAAATCAATTATTTGGAGTAGAAGAAAGCTAACGCCCTGGTTATAATTTCTCTTACCATTACGTTTCACTGAGGTCACCGGTTACTGCCTATGGTGGCCAGCAGGGCTGCATGGTCGTTTGGGAGCCGGAGAAAACCTGCAATTTTAAACGGGCATCGTTAATCATAGACTGGATATTGCGTTAAAATATTTTAGAATAGGCATGTCTAATCCTTATTGAAGCAGAAAATATTACAACTGGGCAGCTTCATTTTCGTTTCACGACTCGTTTAATGCATTCTTTTAAACTTGCTTGCTTCTTATGCAAATAAGTCTGTTTGTGACATGTTAATTATCTTTCATTTTGTGCGCTGACTTGTTCCCACCACCTTTGTACATGTTAGTCATCTTTCATTTTGTCTGCTGATTTGTTCCCACCACCTGTGTAGCAATCCAAATATAGAGTGATAAACAAGGACCAGTGGTGTAATGTCCTGGAATTCAGTCGCACCATCAAGCCCGACCTCTCCAACTATGACGAGGATGGTGCATGTGAGTGCTTCATCTGGTGTCTGTCATTTGAACGGCTCTGTGTTCGCTTCAACTGTGCTTCGTAGCTAGCAGACAGTCATGTCATGTGCTAGCCACGAGGCAGGAACGTATCACAAGGTACACTTTCATGACTAACTCTATGACTTGATTTTATGAAACTGTGGTGGGGGGGGAGAGGGGGGACAGGCTGGTATCTTAAAATTGCTATCAATTGTGTTTCCTTGCTTATTTCTACACCCATGTGACCTGTTGTTACATGGTATAATGACTCCGAAAATGACACCTAAATGTCAGAATTCGCTTCTAGATCTTTTGTGCTTATGCACAAGAATGCAGTATTGCTGTTTTGTTGCATGCAGTGACGACAAGAAAAACGAGCGGTAATTTGGCTGCAACTTTCTTATTTTATCACGCTCTAAAAAAACGAAGGTAACGCAATGGTGTGGAAGAAATTTTAAATATGAAAAATGGTTGTAAGATTCTGTGTGCATTTATCGTTTTCCTGCTCATTGTGAGCCATCAGACTGCAACTGCATTACTCGTTCATCTTTACATCACGACTCTTGCATTTTTTTCTAGCACTTTTACTAGCACTTGACACCATCTGCTATTCTTGAAACTCGTTCTGCGCCGCAAAACTTGTTCGTTACAGTAAGGGCTCTCCTACTCTGCCGTCACTTGTCACCTTTTCTGCCCACGCCGTGTACCTGCTTTTCAGCAATACATTGGTGATTACTCCTCAATTTCGTGATGGAAATCTCTCGGTACAAGAAGAAAGGTTTCACAACTAGGGAAAGTTATCCAAGCTGTAAAAAGTTCTCATAATTTAGCTTAGGATAGACAGGCTTCCAAACGAATGGAAGATGTACTGTGGAAATGGTGATGCAGGACAACAAGACGGCTGTTGTTTTTGTCACACACACCAAAAAAATAGGTGCTAAGAAAATAAGCTAAGTGGTGCTAACATGATTACTAGGCATAGACTCCAAGTCTAGTGGCTAAGGTACTCGGCTGCTGACCCGCAAATCGCAAGTTCGATTCCCGGCTGCGGCGGCTGCATTTCCGATGGAGGTGGAAATGTTGTAGGCCCGTGTACTCAGATTTGGGTGCACGTTAAAGAACCCCAGGTGGTTGAAATTTCCGGAGCCTTCCACTACGGCGTCTCTCATAATCATATGGTGGTTTTGGGACGTTAAACCCCACAAATCAATCAGGCATAGACTCCGAGGTTAAAACATATGTGGGCCAAAGTATCCCAACAGAAAATAGGAAGTTTTCAGTTCACTGAGTACATTGTGCTTTACCATGCCAGTTAGCCTGGATCTGCAAACAATTTCAATGATTTAACTGAGACTTACGCGTGCTCCAACTGGAGACTTTACATGAATCTGACCGTCATAATCACTTATTTAACATACAGTGGACTCCCATTAAACGAAACTCGGTTAAACAGAAAAGTCGCTTAAACGAAACTAGGTACATTTGGTTGGTATCCTATATATTTATTAATAAACGTTTCGGGTAATAGGAACATTTTTTTTTTTGCTTACATCGGTTAAATGAAACTAAAACTACCAAAAATCTATGAACGGCGGAAGTGGCCACGGCACTCTTGCAACCATGAAAAATATACCGTAGCGAGCCTAGCCAAGCCAATCTAGCGATCGCACATGTCCGGGCACGCCATGGTGCACGCCGAGCAGCGTTTGACGTCTCGTCGTGAACTTGAGATGGAACCAAAAAACAGCAGCACAATGCACTTTCGCTCGCAATGAAAGTAAAAATCGTTCAAGAACTTGACCGCAACGACCTTTCGAAGTTAGATATTGCGAAAAACTTCAATATTCCCAAGTCCACGCTATCGAGGATACTCAAGAACAAAGGGAAGATTGAAGAACCTGTAAAGCTTGGGAACTTCACTGCGGACAGAGGGCGGATGAGAATGATGGCATACAAAGAAATCGACGATGTTCTTTTTCTCTGGTTCAAGCGAGCGTGCAGTGCGAACTTCCCGATCAGCGGCCCCATTTTGGAAGAGAAGGCCAAAGAAATTGCTACTCGGATGGGGATCGAGGACTTCCGGGTGAGCGATGGTGGGCTGAGCCGTTTTAAAAAGCAGCATGGTCTTGTCTTCAAAACAGTTTCTCGAGAAAGTGTGGCTATAAATAGAAATATTTGTAGTCAATGGCAACAGGGGAGGCTGCAAGAAATTTTGGAAGCCTACGATCAATGGGACGTGTTTGATGTTGATGAAATGAGGTTGTTTTACAAAGCACTCCCTACTAAGACTCTTGCTTACAAGGGCGAAACCTGTGCGGGAGGAAAGTGAAGCAAAGATCGTATTACGGTGCTAGTAGGTGCCAACATGGACAGTAGCGAAAAGTTGAAGATGTTATTCGTGGGGAAATCGGAGCACTCATGCTGCTTCAAAGGTGTGTGCACGCTGCCTGTCACATACCATGCGAACAGGAAAGCTTCACAAGCAATCTTCGAGACATGGTTGAGCGATGAGGATAGAAGATTTACCCAGCAGAACAGGAAGGTTATTTTTATTGTTGATCAATGCCCTGCTCACGGTCAAGTCAATAGACTCAAATCGATCAGCCTAGAGTTTCTGCCACCAAATGCGACTGCAATCATTCAACCGATGGACCAGGACATAATTCAAAATTTGAAGGTTCTCTACCACCGTCAAGTCCTCCAGCGAATGCTCCTTTGCGCAGGCAACAAAAAAGATTACACTGTGGACTTGCTCTCAGCTCTTCACATTCTAACCAATGCCTGGGAATGGGTGAAAGTGTCAACTGTGCAAAGGTGCTTCCACCATCCAGAATTTTCAAGACTAGAAGTCCTTCCAGACTACAAAGACAACATTGCCGAGGCTGAGGAGGCTGATATTCTCCTCAGTCAGGTGACACAGTCTACTCCTTTCACACGAGTAAACTGTGAAACACTTGATGAAAACGTCGCCACATGCCGCGAGGACAGTCTTGAGGAACTTATCGCTGAAGTTCGAGATGAGGACCCGTGTTCAAGTGGTGATGAGATGGTGTGTGATCCTGAGCCCATTGGAGTGGTGGGCAGTGCAGCAAGAGATACTGTCAGCTTCCTGCCCAGCCTTTAGGCCATGCACTCTCACTCTGTGAAAAAATGCTTGAACAAAGCTAAGCAAACTGTTATCACCTCCTTTTTTCCGAGTCAGTAATAGTAGCAAAGTTTTTTTTTTTCAAATCAGCTATAGTAGTATTGTATACTTCATAACGCTTTTTTTTTCAGTCAGTCACAGTTGGTGTTTTTGAAATAAAGTCAAATTTATTTCATTTTGTAGGCTTTGCTGAAATGAAAATGAAACAAATTTTCTTGCCTGTTCGAGTTCTGTTTAAGAGGAGTATTTGGAAAATAAACAAAATAATACTGCTTCACGCACAACCATTATGGAAATGTTTAAGTATGTTCGTTTACTCGGATCATATGTACAGGCTTTCAGGCTTCTTCAGAGCAGTTACCAAGGATTATCTAGCCGTGCACCCTGAACTGTGGTGAAATGCTGGGGTGATCTACCGCCATGTCACAAACTGTATTCTGCCCTTCACGTGGCAGCACTGCTCACAGCAACAATTCTAATACAAATGCCTGAAAGTTTAAATAAACTCATGGGCACGTTCACCGTGACCCGAGTAATAGTTATAGAACCTTTGCATTGCCGTCGTCGACGCTACCGCATTCTTCTCACCTTTCGCTGCTTTCGTTCATTGCCACCTTCCACCGCTCCTAACTGCTCTCGTTACTCTTCAAGGTGGTGCGACCAACGTGCCTGTGGAGAATCCGTTCCCATTCACGACTACGCTGCTTCGGGGCGAATGTATCGGCTCAATAGAAACACTTGAAATCATCGCGACACTTGACGTTCCTGATAAATTATCGGAAGTCTGCGCCCTCTCCTGTAGTTCCGTGAATGGCCCTTCCGCTGCCGACATTTTCAACCGTATCATCGACGAAGGCCCAAACCCACAACAGAGGTGTGAGCTTTTGAGCCTCCTTGACAAGTTTCGGCCATCTTTTGACAGTCACAGCGCTACTTTAGGTCGAACATCTACTGTGTGCCATTAGATCCACACAGGTAATCACCCACCATTACAGCAGCGACTGTACCGTGTCTCGCCGACTGAATGCCGTGTCATCGATGAACAAGTAGGTGACATGCTAAAGCGCGGCATCGTTCAACTATCAAACAGTTTTTGGGCATCGCCGGTTGTTTTAGTTAAAAAGAAGGATGGCACGATACGCGTTTGCGTAGATTATCGTTTAAACAAAATAACACGAAAGGATGTTTATCCTTTGCCTCGGATCGATGACGCCCTCGACTCTTTACAAGGCGCAGAGTTATCTTCCTCCCTTGATCTACGCTCTGGGTATTGGCAAGTGCCCGTGAATCCGGATGATAGGCCAAAAACTGCCTTTGTAACACCAGACGGCTTATACGAATTTAAGATGATGCCATTCTGCATATGCAATGCACCGACAACATTTGAGCACATGATGGACACTATCCTACGAGGCCTCAAATGGAACACGTGTTTATGCTACTGAGATGATTTGGTGGTGTTCTCGCCCGATTTCCCCACGCACCTTCGTCGCTTGGAACAGGTTCTACGCTGTCTCTCTGCAGCAGGGCTTCAACTAAACTTGAAGAAGTGTCGTTTTGGAGCACGCAAGCTGACCATTCTCCGACACGTCGTGTCGAAGGATGGCGTTCTCCCTGACCCCGCTAAGCTACGGGCTGTTTGGGAATTCCCGAGGCTCGCGTCTCACAAGAAGCTGCGTAGTTTCATTGAGCTTTGCTCATACTTCCGCCGCTTCGTCCGGGATTTCGCCTCGATCATGGCACCTCTGACAGACCTACTTCAGGGAGACCGCAATCTATCTGCGTGGTCTCCAGCGTGCGACAGTGCCTTTGCCAAGCCCCGTGAACTGCTTACAACACCACTTGTACTGCATCATTCCGATTCAAGCGCTCCCGCCCCGCCGCGGTGGTCTAGTGGCTAAGGTACTCGGCTGCTGACCCGCAGGGCGCGGGTTCGTATCCCGGCTGCGGCGGCTGCATTTCCGATGGAGGCGGAAATGTTGTAGGCCCGTGTGCTCAGATTTGGGTGCACGTTAAAGAACCCCAGGTGGTCTAAATTCCCGTAGCCCTCCACTACGGCGTCTCTCATAATCATATAGTGGTTTTGGGACGTTAAACCCCACATATCAATCAATCAATTCAGGCGCTCCCACAGAAATCCACATGGATGCCAGTGGTGTAGGTCTTGGCGCTGTACTCGCCCAACGAAAGCCTGGTTACTGAGATTAGGTTGTTGCGTACGCGAGCCGCACTCTTACAAGAACAGAAGCAAATTATTCGCTAACTGAGACAGAATGCCTAGCGATCATCTGGGCCATTACAAAATTTCGGCCTTATCTGTACGGCCGCCTTTTTGATGTTACCGACCACCATATGCTCTGCTGGTTATCCTCCCTCAAGGATCCCTCTGTACGCTTGGCACGATGGGCTTTACGGCTGTAAGAGTACGACATTTATCACTCCTGTGTAGCATTTATCACTCAGGCCAGAAGCATGCCGATGCTCTTTCGCGTTTGTCCGTTTCTACTGATATTGTGAGTGTCTCTATCCAAGACAACTTGCTTTCACTATCAAGACCCATCGACATGGCTGCAGAGCAGTGCAAAGATTCGTGGATTGCATCTTTGATGGATTCCAATCTGAAACACTCGCCCGCCCGCCATCTCGAGCGCTACACCGACAAGCATCTCACTTCGCCATCTGTGATGGAATACTCTATCGCTGCAACTACCACCCTGACGGCCGCAAATGACTACTCGTCATACCCAGGCATCTCCATGCCAGCATATGTGCTGTTTTCCATGCCGATCAGCAGTGTGCACACACCGGTTTGTTTAAAATCTACGCCAGGCTATGTTTTCGGTTTTATTGGCGCGGCATGTACACATTTGTTCAAAAGTACATTTGATCTTGCACAGAGTGCCAACGCCGCAAGCAAAATCCTAGCCATCCTACTGCACCAATGCAGCCGTTACCGTGCCCAGTGCGACCATTAGACCGGGTCGTAATAGACCTTTATGGTCCTCCTGCCATATACATCAGCTGGGAATCGCTGGATTATTGTAGCGATCGACCATATCACGAGATATGCAAAAACGGCCGCTCTACCAGCCGTGACAGCACATGACGTTGCGTCTTTCCTGCTGCAACATTTTGTTTTGTGTCAAGGCGCTCCACATGAACTTTCGAGCGACCGGGGCCGCTTCTTTCTCGAGGATGTTATTCAAAAGCTTCTTGCTGAATGCCATGTGATTGACCACTGTACTACCGCATATCGCCCGCAAAGAAACGGCTTGACCGAACGTTTCAACTGCACTGTTGGCGGCATGCTTTCTATGTATGTCGCCTCCGACCACACCAACTGGGATCTTACCCTTCCCTACGTAACGTACGCTTACAACACGGCACCTCAAGTGACCACAGGCTTTTCTCTCTTCTTTTTACTTTATGGTCTAGAGCCATCATCTCCAATCGACACCATTCTCCCCTACCGACCCGACTCACCCGAAGGCATACCAGTTTCCGAAGCCGCTTGGTATGCAGAAGAATGTCGGCAATGAGCTCGCATCCTTACAACACAAAAACAAGGGCTACAGAAATTTTGTCACGACGATGAACGGTCCCACTACCAGTTTTCGCCCAACTCTCTTGTTTGGTTGTGGGTGCCTCCCACTGCTGCTCCTGGTACCTCTACAAAGTTCGTCAGCAGGTACCATGTACCTCATTGCGTCATAGAGCAAACTTCCGCTGTCAACTACCGTAATTACTCGAATCTAACGCGCACCTTTTTTCCGGTTAAGCGAGTTCATAAATCGCATGCGCGTTAGAATCGAGTACAAACAAAAAAATTACGGCCAATCTATTGCCATCGGCAAATCTAAAATGGCCGCCCCCTACGTGCGTCGGCATGGCGCGTCGTCCATTTCTGCCTATGTGTTTCTCATGTGCGGCACTTCGTACGTGTGCTGAGGAGTTCATCATCTAGTAGTGCATTAGCATCGACGGCGTGGAATGGCCGACTCCAAAAACTCGAGTGCACCACAATGCCACTTTTAAAAGAAAAGTCATCGCGTGTGCAGAAACTGACGGAAATCGGGCCGCATCGCGGTCGTTCGGAGTTCCCGAAACTGTGCGTGCGGGACCGGCGGAAACAAAAGCAGAAGATTTTCGACAGCAAAGCTTTACGCAAAGGACTTCAGTGGACCACAGCAGGGTCGGTTTCCGCAAATTAAAGAGCTGCTCGGCGAGTATGTGCTTTAGCAGCGAGCAGCACAGCGGCCCGTGACGGCAGAACTGCTCCAAGTGCGGGCTATGCAATTAGTCTTAGAAAAAGGTCTAATGCGGAGCCAGTTTAAAGCGAGCAGGTGCTGGCTAACTAACTTTATGAAGAGGAAAGGCTTTTCCCTCCGAAGTGGAACATGCATATGCGAAAAGTTTTGCGGAGGAGTACGATGAAAAGCTTCACAGTTTTCAGAGGTTCGTCCTAAACTTGCGGCGCAACAACGACTACCTGCTTGGGCAAATCGGGAATGCCGATCAGACGCCTGTTTACTTCGACATGCCTGGCACCACAACCGTCGAGAAGAAGGGGGCGAAGCAAGTTCGCGTGCTGACATCAGGCCACGGTAAAACTAGAGTGACGGCAATGCTCCGTTGCACGTCAGTTAGGCACAAGCTTCGCCCGTACCTCATATTTAAAGGGAAGACGCTCCCGAAAGGAGTCGTTTTTTCGAGTGGTGTGATCATGCGGGCCAGCGAGAAAAAATGGGTGCAGCTTTGCAATCGATGTCTTACGGTTTTTTTTTTTTTTTCGCATTGGAAATCGGGTGCGCGTTACAATCGAGGGCGCGGTAGAATCGAGTAAATACGGTACCATGTCGAACCCCTCATGCCCACTCCGGACCTGCGTCGCCGAGGCCGCGAAATCGTACACATGGATCGTCTCAAACCGTATCACGAACCACTTGTCCTCATGACACCTTAGAACACCTACTTGGCTCCGTCTTCAGCGAGGGGCAAATATGTAATAGAGAAGTAGTGGGTCATGTAAAGCTCGGCAATCACATCGTCAGTGCTAAGCACGAAACGCTCGCCCAGACGTTGCGCTATCGCTGGCTAGGCCTACGCTCCTACCTGGTCTCAAATAACAATTCTGGCTGTCTCAGTTCTTTATTATACCTGTAGTATCACAAAGATTCCCCTTTTCCTTTGGCTCAAAATGGCTGGCGAAATTTCCCCGAATATGGGAAAATTCCCTGCACAGAACATCACTGTGTTGAGCCACTATGAGACCGCAACGCCAATGTTTGAGCTTGCGCTTGGGGAACCCCCCCCCCTTCTTTTTTTTAAAGACAAAATTTTTTCTTGACAAAATTTTGTTCTGTCTGTACGTTTGTCTGTTTGCGATAGCGATTATCGTTATGGCATCAAAGTTACCAAGCGATACCTAAAATGGCCAATCCCATCCACAGCACCCACCAATATTGCTCAAGTTTCAGCGTTCATACTTGTGTGATTGTCAATTAAAAAGCAATTATTGCGCATATCTGAGGCACCATAACAACACCTCGCTGTTTTGTATGTGTGCCTTTATACTAGAGAAGGCACACACAATTAATTTCAAGGACCATAGCGTTCATCACGCTGTGCTGACAGTGCAACGTGATGGTCAAAAAGGCAAGTGTTTCCACCGCTTCGCTAAGACGACACGGTGGTGGCACCTGCCCGTCGCTTTGCGTTCTACTCCTTATCGCCTCCGAGAGAGGCACGCATTTTTCTTAGCGGGCGCGCACGCCTTCCTTCGTTTTCGGAGATGCCAGATGGCGCTCGTGTTTAACATGCCTCGATGCGTTCGTTAGCTTTCGCTACATGGATCGAGACTCTCTAACGCAACGCTTCCAGAATACAATTTGCCATTTTTTTCGTGCAGAACATCAAATAACACTCTCTCCATACGCAAGACTATCGTCTTTCGACGATATTTGCAGTGAAACATGCAGATATGGGGCCTTTTTTTTGTTCTTTTGGTGCCAGAAATAGGGGCAAATAATTCAGCGTGTCAATTTGACTAATGACGACAAAACATGATTATGCCTTTGCTAAAGGTAAATCCATCACAGCTACAAATAGAAAAAGCCTGTAATGCCCCCCCGCCCCCGTACCCCACTCGGGGGTTTTACGAATTTCTCTGTTGCCAGGTTGGCAGGTGTGTCAGTGTGAAAATTCGCTTGGTCTTTGCATTTAATGTAGGCAGGTCAAGCAACCTAGTGCTTCCTCTGCGTGATGTGCTATAGCATTTTTTACCTGTGGGATCTCTATCGTTGTTTACCTTTGCCCATTAATGTGCAGCTGGTTTACACACACTGATCCCATCCACTTGTAGACACCGTATTTGCATTTCTAGCTAGAGCTATCTACAGCGAACTTTTAAAATGCACTTGGGAGTAGGAATGATGATGGACTTGAAAAGGTTTGAAGTGTTGTGCTCACCTTTCACCTTATGCCTTAAATGTGTACTGAAGGTGGTTGTTAACATGAACCACACGTATATACTGAATGTCGCAATATTCCAAGCATTTGAAAAGTAGGGAACGCAAAATTTTTTCTGCCAACTGCCTGGAACTGCCTGTAGACACATGTTCCTGATGCCCCTCTCCCCTCCCCCCTCTTTTTTTTCTTCTTCTCAGGGCCGGTGTTGCTAGACGAGTTCGTTGAGTGGCTGCGTGCGAGGTACCCCCACCTAAACCGTGCATCACAGACAGCCGAGGACAGTAGCCATCCTTCATTTGGTGCAGCCTCATGCAGCTGAGGGGAACTGCTCACGTGCCCTCTGCCGCCTCCCCCTAGACTACCTTACCCCTTCCCAACCCCATTTAAGCATTGGGGGGGAGCTTGGTCGCAAGTTTTTGGCACCTAGACCGTTGTCTGCCCCCTTTTGCACTCCCAGTGAATGCCGCAAGAGTACGACATCCCCATGTCAAGAGGGCCAAAATTGTCTTAATGAACAGCTTCAGCCCTTGGCAACCTCTTGTCTCGTCTAACTGACTTGTTTCTTTGACTAGTTGGAAACTACGCACACTACCTCTGTGCTGGACACTTCAATTGTTTTTTCTTTTGTCCGCTTGCGGCCTGAACATTTGAAGTCTGTGCATTTGCTGCTATAATTTTATAATAATTTTGCAGCTTAGCTTTTTCACTTTGATAAGACGAAGCTTGAAAAAGTGTATTTAGTTCGTGTAGAAAGAATTTCTGATCGAGTCAGCGTGTGCTGCACTTGTCACAAAATGGGTTGTCTGTTGTGCTTCCGTGATCGTCCTTTTTCTATTTATTCGTGTTGAAGTGGCGCAGTGCACGGCTTGTTTTCTTGCACACGCATTTTGCAGCGACAGCAGGGACTTCACTTCGATGCCATTGTGGCCAAAGTGCAGTGCCAACAGCGCGTGAATGCTTGCTCTCGTGATCTGCACGTGTGCCTAGGAGCTGCCTTGTCTCTCTTTTTTTTTAAATTTTCTGAACCAAATGTCCGCTTCTTTTCTTTCCTTTTGTGGTGCTTTTATTCCGAAATTCGCTTTTTTCATTTCGTGCACTTGTTCGTCTCGTTTCCCCGACAGCTGCGGGAAAATAATGGAATGTTCAAGAAAACTTTCACCCCACTCGGCTACTCGCTTAAGAGCGTGCAAAAGTGAAAAAGATGACAGAGTGTAATGTTATCGTCTTTTGCACTTTTGCATACCGTTACACGAGTCGCAATGAACCAACTTGCTCAGCAAGCAGCCATTCTTGACCCTCCCCCACCTTAAATATAGTTAATGAATGCACCACGCCCCATGCAACGATGGTCATCAAATGTGGCATATCACGTGCTATAAAGCGCTCCTGTACTGTGCCCTCTTGTCTGCCACTGTACCTAAGGTCGATCATGAGTAGTGTAGTCTGCCTGTGCAAGCCTCTTCTTTTGCGGGGGAGGACGCTTCTTTTTACAGAATGTGTGTGGGCATGCGGAGTGAGTTCTTTGTATGAGGTGCGCAGTAGCTTGTGAATACCTTCAGGAAGTCGGCTGGCTAAGCGTTTTTAGACGGACGGAGAGTCAGATGAGTGGGTGTGCCTTGGTGGCTTCAACAGCAGGACCGAGGACGAGTTTAGCCTCTATTTTTTTTTAATTTCTTTTTCGAGTTCTCTGCCTTCGGTTGCACTGTTGCAGCCACGAAGGAGTCTTCCTATCGGAGTGCCAGTAACGCAGGATGGCCTTGGGATGCTTGGACTGCCTAGAGCACTGCTATGTATTATCAATTATACTATAGCAAGGCCCTGCAAAGAAGCTCTGAAAGGAACACATTCCGTAGATTGAATTTACTAAGCATTTGCTTTTGACTATAATACTTTACAGCAGCGCAGTACGCACTTGAAACGGTGCTGCTGCTCTTCCCAAAAAAAAAAGTATGCTGTATTGAGAGTGACCTTTTAAACGAATAAACACTTGAACATGCAAATACACATTACCAAGCTGCAACACCTAGCCCTGTCTCTGTCTTCTGTCCAAGGGAAAGGAGTTAAGGCAACAGGGGTGCAACTACATAGTGCTTTCGCATTGATGACTGTAGCCGAAGAAACTACAGGGTGCTCTTTTAGGGAATAGATTATTTTTATAAAACTTCCATGAAAGTAAAGCTCCTGTCATTTTGCTAACAAACTTTACAACAAGGTAGAAATAAAAATGCAAACTTTTTAATTACTGATTTCGGTGCCATTGCAGTGCATCATTTATAGCATAACCATTTTTTAAGTCTCTAAAATTGCTCACATGTCTGAACATTTGTCATTGAATTTTAAGGGCGAAATCAAAGCATAACGCCTGGCCTGCAAAAATGTGAGCACTCTGTTATGTTGGACTGAAACTACCCGCGACAAGAAAGTTACGAAATTTAAATCCAGGCATGCTGGAGCAGAATCTGGTCAAAATCTGCAAGTATTATAAAATGTATGAGTAGACAAAATATGAACAGTGCAGTGTTTAGCGCTCGTTTGTATGTGAACAGGCACAAAAAGCTACTTTGCCCGACAGGCAAAGGAGGATTTAGTGGCTGCCCCAGAGTTTTGTGCCTCATATACAAAAGAAAGGTTTATATAGCTGTTTTTTTGTGCACAGTTGAAAGGAATAGATAAACATTTAACACTGCATGTAAAGATGAAATTATGTGCACGCACCCACGATTCGACTTGCTGCTTTTCACGAAAAAACATGGTTGCAACGTGCTTTCATCCAAGTTTCATCACATCATTTCCGATGGAGGGGGAAATGTTGTAGGCCCGTGTGCTCAGATTTGGGTGCACGTTAAAGAACCCCAGGTGGTCGAAATTTCCGGAGCCCTCCACTACGGCGTCTCTCATAATCGTATGGTGGTTTTGGGACGTTAAACCCCACGTATCAATCCAAGTTTCATCACTGCAGTTGTGGTCTGGTGCAACAGAGTGGTTGCACTTAGCTCTGTGCGTGTCTCTAAGCTCCTAGTCCTCTTCCCTTCATCTTTGTCACCGTTCTGTTATGGCTCGGTAAGGTGCACAAAACGCTATAACAAATATCTTTAGTTACGTGCAACTCTTCAATTTCTAAATAATAGATTTGTTACAAGTCGTTGTGCACTAAAACTTTCTAATATAAACAACTACCCTTAAGTGAATAATTAGGAAGTTAGTTTTTGTTCATTGTAACAGTGTCTCATTTGCTATGGTAAAGTATTTCTGCCTTGACGTGGAGTTGGGGTGCAAAAATGGCAGATGCTTTATTATCGAGATTTTTATTATTGATATCGTATCTAATGAGATAGCTGTTTTTACTGTTGACCAGTTCAGATTGCCATCGAGTGCTTGCACAGCACCTCCTCGTGGACTTCCACTATAGTGGAGAATTTTATGGTTTACAATTGCATCCTCCAAACTTCTAATTAACTACTGTGACCTATTAATACTCCAGGAAACTGGAGAATCACAATGTAAGCGATAGGTTTTGTGTTACCTTCATCCCAACTTTTATTAACTTATCGAGTACGATAATGAAACATGCTGGCCTGGCATATTACACAAGATAATTCGAGGCTACACTTTACAATGAAAATGTATAAGGTCTCTTAGATGGAGGCTACCTACTGAGTAGCAATTGCTGCCATGTGTAGCATTCTCCAAAGTAAATGGAAATTGAGAATGTTTTGTGCATGTTGAAGCTAAATTATTCCATAATCGATATGCCCACCCATTTTCTTGTGTGTTGCATGAACAAAAAAAAAGCCTCCAGACATCTGGAACCTGAAATATGCTCAGAATTTATAGGACGGCGCTTGTCTCTAGATCAGTGGCCAAGGTCTTGCGTTGTGGAGCTTCAGTCCATAGGTGTGTTACTAAGCTGTTTCAAAGGGGCCATGTAAGCAAAACAGTCATGCTCAGGGCACGTTATAATGAGCTGCTACACTACTAGAAGCTCAAATTTGTTGCAGAAGTAGCGAACATAAGCAAACATTTTTTTTTTTTTTCAGATCTTGTAGTTCTTTAATAGCATTTGATTGGCCACTGCATGGCTGCCTCTTTTACTGATCCTCCTTTATGTTGGACTCTCAGGTGCTCTGTCCACACCGGTCGCTCTCCCCAACTCCATGCAGTGCACTGAAACATAGAGTGCACCTGAAGAGAACTTTTTTTTTTTTTTTATAGGGAAGAGAAATGGCCAAGTCTGTTGGGGAGCCCAAAGTGTTTTTAGTCGAAGTCCCCCCCACTAGTTGTACCCTCCCGACGAAGCACCACTACTGTCTTGTTAATGCAGAATGAATGGAAGCTTTACAGGAATTTCAGTGGGTCAGCAGTGTCCCATTCCTTACTCTGAAAACGCAGCAGTCTTGCATCCCATTTTTGCTCTCGTCCCTCGAAGAAACGGCCTCTACTCCTGCCTGAATGATAGGAAACTTTCCTTTTTTTTGTGTGTGTAGCAAGTGCTCACACAAGCCAGTACAGCATCTTTTATCGCAAGATATGCAGCTATCATACACTCAAGTTATTTACAAAACTTGTCAGATTTCATTTTCGATCGTCGATCCAACAAAGCTTCGTGGAGAGAACCCTCGATTCTGGCTCTTTTCAGGTCCTTTCGGTCTTGCTGACTCACACGGAGTTTTCTATCTTGGAAGCTCTGGAACTTTTTCCTGAAAGCAAGAAAAATAAAAGCTATCACTAGCAACATGTCGCAGTACACAAGCAGCATCTAAAATATGAAAGGCCTTTTCTAATGCTTTTCACAGTTCAAGTAATTCATCATTACGTGTTGTAGCTGTTTTCCACAGCGGTTTTACACAACTACATGCAAGAAAGTGAACAGTTTGCAGTAGCTTTGTCCTTGTCATACATGCCACTGCTTAGTGTCACTGGAGTGACATGTGCTAAAAGACTTGGAAGTACTTGTTGTTGGGCTAGTTGGTTCCTCATACTGAGGGGTAATTCTAGATGCCTAAAGCACCACAGGAAGAAATAATCATAGAGAAATAATTCCGGAGCACGTTTGCCTGCGCATTGCCGTTCCTGTTCTTGTGAAAGAACTGATTTCCTTTTGCTTTTGCAGCCTAGGCTGCGGAACATTTGAGAAACCGCTACCCTCTAAATTATATGTACGAAAATGGTGAGCAGACGAAGTAAATGTAGCATCTCCTTGAAATGCAACGTTTCTGTGATAGGCAGGCTGGACTCGGCTGTAGTAGCCATGTTCGAGAAAAAGGCACTGCATTAGAATCCAAGACAGGGAAGTTAAGAATCGCATGTGAGTAACCCTTGTGCTGTACAGCACTATACTGTCGCTATCTCCAATTTCTATGGCACAGGTTTGGTTTGTTAATGACAACATTGTAAAATGATTAGCAGACATCAAGTCTTCACAGTTTCTGAAATGTGTTTTAAAAGGTGCACGATGCATGCACTTAACACTTACACATAATTTACTTCACATTCTCCCAAGGACCCTCTCTCCTCTTCGGGAACATCTTTTTCCTTTGATGTATCGGCTTTAGCCACAGCACGGACCTGTCGGTACACAACAGCAAATTATCTTAAATATTTTGTTGCATGGACCTACGTTCAATGAAAGGCTTGCACATTCCCTTTGAAAACTGAAGGAAAAAAAAAAAAGTCTCCATGATGGCTGCTCACCTTAATCATTTCATCGCTGCCTGCTGAACGGCAATTGGCTTTTATGTCTGTACCATCCACTACTGTGACGAAGCAGTTATTGCTGGCTTGAAGGGCTACTTTGCCCTGGAATAGCAAGTGCATCACTAGTCAGCGCAAGTTTTTCTCTACTGCAAACAACCACTGTTCGTAACGCACTCACATCTTGAAAGACTGGTTCCCACTGCTCAAGTGGGCCTATGGCATCTGACCGCCCCACAACTGTACCATCTGGCTGGACAGAAAGGTACTTCCCATAGCCAGATTTCAAGGCTATCTTTGTGTCAGAGAGTTTGACAGCTGTTAATATTTCTTCTGGAACTGGGCCTTCACCTAGAAAAAAAAAGGACAGGAGATAATTTCATTGGCGACGTTCTCTTCACAATTCACTGTTCTTTGCTGTCTGTATTGCCGGCATTTCAAGAGCAAAATCACCCTCGTGGCTCTTCATTTTAAGAGTTGATAATATTGCCATGTGATGACATGACCTAGTAGAAATAGGCTGCCAGTTCAAACTGTAGGGAGGCATACAGCATGCGACGAGGTACCTTGTACCTGCCATGTGTGTAAGGCAGAGTAGAACTTTTTTTTATGACTGCACGTACCACATATACCGCACTAGAAGCGAAAGTTGGGTTAGTAGCCCTGTCGTCTCTCACACAGTTTTTGTCTATATTTTTGCACTGTTTTTACTTCCCAGCCACGCATACCCATGGGATTATTTTCATTCGCACGCCTTTGCCGTCTGCTGTTGGGAGCATTTGTCCGACGAATTCCGCGAGAGTAATGCTTCCAGTAACAATTCTGTTGGAGCAATGCTCCCCACGGCAGCAGCTTCCGACTAAACGACATGGGCATCAATTTCGGCACTCGCTCCCGTGGTCGTATACTTTAGCTCACAGTTGTACATACGAACAGATCCATGCTGTCACTAACTAGGGTTTTGGAACAGTGCAACACAAAGCGTTGCGTTGCGCATGCGTCGTGCACGGGTTCCCGTTCAGTGACAAATGCTAACGCTATGCCCTCAAGCTTTGCTTACGGTATTCTAAAACCCTAATGTTAGTCCAAGCCATCCGTTGCAACACATGCACTCTCATGGAACATTAGAAATCTGAGCATTTCATCCAAGTGAACATGTGGATGGGTGTTCCACATTTCACAGCCGAGTTGCTTTCCGCTGAAATCTTGGGACACAAATATTGTGGCTTTAGCACGAGATAAAGTCAAGAATACCTTACACGATATAATCAAATGCACTTCGAACAACAGAACACAGAAGTACGGGTAGTCTAAACGATGATGCGCCGCGCTCCAGTCTGGGGTGTGCTAGATAAGCAAACCTTACGTCACTGTCAGTTTTGTCTTGACGTCGCATACACGGAATGCAAAACGCCACGTTAATTACAGAAAATCTCGGTGGCTCATTAGAAGAGTCGAGGGGCCCAATACCCGATTGAGAAATGAGCTTACCGAGTGGATGAGGACCACCGAGTACGAACAAGCCATCATCCCGCGAGGACATGTAGCAGTACGGGCTGAACTCAATGGCTATGGGACCCGTGTACTCTTCGAACGCCTTCAGCTCCCACCAGCCTCCTGTGATGAAATATACGGCATATAGAGAACAGTTCGGTATGCACTTCAGGGTGTGTAGAACTGTACCGTGGTTGACGGTGTCCTCACTTTCCATCCTTTCGTCGCCACCACTGGAACTCTGCTTCGACTTGTTTTTACTCTTGTGCTTCCTGCGAGGTGCAGGGGATGTCAACGTGAAACTGTCACCGCAAGCACACAGTTCGCCAACCTCGCTTCCCGCATAAACATGTGTAACGTGGCCCAACAGATTAACCTAAAACAACTTTCACCTAATGAAATGTGGCAACCCCAATCATTCTCCACCCGACAACGGAGTCAAAATCAATGACTCAATCGTATCCAATGCGATCACGAAAGAAAAAAAACCCAGGTGGTCGAAATTCCCGGAGCCCTTCACTACGGCGTCTCTTATAATCATATGGTCGTTTTGGGACGTTAAACACATATCAATCAATGCGATCACGAAAGAAATGTACTCACTTCGTTGCGCGGCCCTTCAGCACAAGCTTCCCGCGACGCACTAAGCTGTAGTCAGCCATATCTCGTTTAAAGTCAATGCTGTTGAGCTCGTTCACGGGTAGCACTCAACTCGACATCAGCGTTGACTGACTCCGAACAATTACGACCCTAGAGCAAACCGATTTCACTGTTAACGCACACAAGTCGACACAAAACAAAATGCTCGGCCGTGAACTTAACCGACCTCGTTATTTCGCTGTCGCGTTGATGTTTTTCTTGCTGCCGATGCTGGTTTTTGCATAGTTTCTCATACTCTACAAGTTTCTGTGTTCATCTTGAAAAAAAACGTAACTTTCATAAAATAAAAATGTGAAACTAAAATTTTAAATAAAATTGAGTTATATTATTTTAAGCAGTGAAATAAATAAAGTTACGTGTTATTTTTAACAAGCGTGTAAACATTATGACGTAGTGTCCGCCGGAAGTGTTTAACGTCAGGTGTTCAGCGTCAGCGGCGGCTTGCGTTTACCCGCTCGCTGCGCTGGCTCCCTATCGCTTTTCATACGCTCCTTAATTTTTTACGACACTGCTCGCGGGCGCAGTGGCAGTAGGCAGCCCTGGAATAGTGGCGCTCGTGTGGCAGGTTCGGCGCTGCTTTTGCCGGTGGACGGAGCGTTTTTCTCCGGATACTTGCGCATATCGGCGGGAAAAAGACGGCGGCAACGAGCGCTTCGAAACGCCGACGAGCTACGGTGTAACCTGCTAGAAAAAAAAAGTGATCGCACCTTGCACGGATATAGCGTGTCGACTTCGGCGATGTGTGCCTGCTCCCGTCGCTGCACTGCTAGCAACGGCTGCTCCTCGCCCGGGATCTCCGACGACGGGCGTGCTGTGTGGTGATTCTTACATCCGTGTGAAGCTCGTCTTCAAATGACTGCAACGACGACTCGTCGTCGAAGACGCGGATGCACTCGCCTCGCTCTCTCTCGGAGTCGTCTCGGATATAACACTTTCGAGTTCACTTAAAGCGCCTTGGCTGCGGTGCTTTCGGTGAGTTCTTCGGCGGCCAGTTTTTTGTCGCTCCCTTTTTTGCTCCCCCTTTTTTCGCCTCTTGTTGACGGTAGTTCGTTGACGCCGTTTACGTACACTTTCTAACGCAACCAACCTGTGCACTGTTGTGCGAACCGAGAAGTGTCTCCTTTCATGAAGCCGCTGTCTCAAGGGAACCCAAGTTTCCAAGTTTGCTCCCCCCCCCCCTCCTACTCTTTTCTGCGCCAGGGTGCTTGTTGCGTAATAATCAGCGCGCCGGCTTAAAACTGCCGTCGCTATTGCGTTGGCGCAAACTTCGGATATATGTCCCCAGTTTCGCGCTGCACTTGCGCTAGCGCGCTTGTGAAAACTTCGTGAAGCGATTTTTTTTTTATTCGCCAACTCGGTTCGCCCAGTGAGGAAGCCTATAATAAAGTTCTCACCGTGGTGTTGTTTTTGAACAAAACACGCTTTTCTGTTGAGCTAGTTGCCGACGTCAGCGCGTTTCATTTTCGCCTGCCAATTTTGCACTGGCTGGACAAGGCGGCAAGACCACTTAGTCGAGGAACGTAGTGGAATAATGACGTCGTTCATTGTGCTCACACGCGCTCTAAGGCAACCGTGACAATGAGTACCGATGCATTTTAGATGGTTTCGGTAAGAGTTTCTACGGATCCGGTAGATTTGATGGTAAAAGTTTGAAACAGTGCTAAACGTACCGTGCGGCTTGAAAAAAAAAAAAACTACTACTTTCGCGATGCGTTAACATATAGTTTGCTCTGTGGTTTCGCTTTTTTTTTTTTTTTTGCCTGGTTTTCGACTTATGATTGGATCTATTTCCAAAGCTCAGGCAAAATACAAAACTAAATGCAGCCCTGAAGCAAAAGGAGACAGTAAAAACGTTGACCTTCAAGTAAATTTATTCCACAGTGAAAACGGGCATGACCGCAGGATAAAAAAACTGATTTTTTTTTTTTGCACACGTGTGCTTCCCCTCAACAAATAAATTTTTGAAAGTAGATAACCTGCTTCCTTTTGTGACAGCACGATAAAGACACTGCTTAAGCAGTTCTCATTTTCTTTTGTAATACAAACGGCCTGTGATTAACGAGGTGGAATTTTTCTCTGTCCCTGTTTCTTTCGGTGTCTGCGTGTTTTATTAGTTCGCCTAAGCGCTGGACATACATCGAACTTCAGCATTTTAAGTGCTGTATAATACGCTCGGCTGTCATTTTCGCCTTTCTTGCGTGTGACGGTAGCTCGTTTAGGTATCGACCTTGGCTGTGCGCTTAATCGGCACCGTGGCGCGCTCCGGTCTGTGGCGCTGCGTGAAAGGATCCGTTCGTTCGTATTGGGACACGCTCGCTGCGCAAGACTTCGACGCCGATTCTAGGGCGCATACCGGCGGCCGGTGCGGGTCTGTGCGACGCGTGGAAAAGTTTCGCTTCGCGCGGTGTTGTGGCGTGAGGTTGCGGTGTTGTGAAGAGCGACTGCTTCTGCAGTCGAACAACGGTTTTTCACAGTCGTCGGCGTCACTTTGTAGGCGGTGTGCCGAGGACTTGACTCGAAAGCTTAGAGACAGTGCGAGGAAAACTTAGGAGACAAAAAAAAAAAAAAGTAGTCAGTAATGTAACTCTTGATTGCCACTCGAGCTCGGCAGTCAAATATCGCTGTGCAAAAAGAGAATGACGTAGCGCGAAGAAACAATAGGTACTGGAAAAGAGTGTAACTTGCAATTAGATTTGTTTGAAGAAAGTCAGATGTGCAGTTAAATTTTCGCAAAACAGTGAAGTGCAAGTTGTGAGCATGCTGTGGGCACCTGGCTGCACTGAAACAAAAACAAAAAAAAAATCTTGAATAGTTGCAATAGTCACGCTCTTTTTCCTTCGCGTTGCGTTATTGCCATTTCCACAGAAAGAACCAACTAGCCGAACATGTCGGCGTCTCGCGTAATCATATGGTGGTTTCGGGTCGTTAAACCACGTTAATTATTATTATTACTATTAGCCGAACATGTCAGCGATGTAAAAACGAGCTCTTTACGCAGCGCACGGGCCAGCTTTTCTAACTTTACCAAGACACAATAAGTATTTGAAGATGGTGCCAACCGTGAAATGAAGCTTTAGTGGCGCGCAGTGCAGACGAGGCCAGGTGTTATGTGACAAAGGTGGGCTCGTGAACGTCCACGCACAGCGTCGTGCGTGACCATGGCCGTCTTGAGACCACGATTTGTTGACGTAGCCGCGCCAGCACTTCACGATAATTTACGTCGAGTCATACTTTTAATATATATATTTTTCGGATGCGGTCATAACTGCGTTGCATGTAGGCGTTGCTTGATGCTGACAGTGATTTTTACATTTAAAATAATTGAAATTAGAAGCCTGTTCTAGGGCTTAGCGATGTCTGAGAATGCGAGATAAGCGCTAGCGAGATGACAGGCGGAACCGCTTTGCGAGGGTTGTGAGTCATTGCGCAGAATAGCAACGGGACACGTTCTTTATTGCCTCTTGAACTTCTTGTCGCCGTCTAGAGAAGCAATATTCAGGTCGTATTGCATTTCTTTTTTACGATTCGTTATATCGCATACTTCAATGGGAGGAGGCACCCGACAATACGGAAGTCATTATTTGTGCTTTTCAATCACTGCCGAAATGTATGTGGGACACCATAGACAGTGGGGCGAGAGGCGCTTTGTTCTATTGTTTAATTCTTGTATCCGAGCTTTGAACACGAATGCGTACAAGCAGGCCGAGTTTCTGTCGCTGGAGGCAAAGCGGAACTTTTACAAGATCTTTGCGCGATTCCATGGCGGGGGGTTTCCGTCGCGTTTCGTTGCTTGTCCGGCCACGCCTCACTTATGCTCCATCCGTCCGCTAGGCGCGGCAGTGTTGTGAGAGAACTCCACCGCGCGGTGATCTTTCATGATACGTGAGTTGCTTAGGAACATCGTAGTGTCTTAATGTTCCAATTTACCTTCACCATATTCTCGTACCTTGCTAATATACCCCTCGCTTACCCTCCTGTTCAGATGAACACGTGACAGCGCGTCACGTTCGCACGTGTATTTTAGCACGATTCCGCGCTTGCTGACGCACTGCCAAAGAATTGCGAGTTTCGTATTCCCAATTCTCAGCTGCCACCTGTTATTTGGATCTTTGGTAGAGACGTGGCTGTGTAGGAAGGTTGCTAGACCATCCCCGTAAGATAACGTCGCAGGGGAATGACAGTCGTATAGGACGCTGTACAGGTAGATATGTGCGTTTCGCCACATTGTCCCTCCTCCTTTCGATCGTGCGATTTCGGTCCTCGTCTTGCTTGAGTACGTTACACCTTCAAAGTTTCAAAGTGAGTCATGACGTGACCTTTTCTTTCTCTTATTTGGCGATCGTGCGAGAAAGCAATCAGAACGAGCTTTCGAAGTGATCACGTGGCCACACGTTCACGTCGGCAACATAATCGCATTGTGTCGCGACCGACATGCAAGGGCTATTTGGGGGGCGAAACTCCTTATGGTAAAGGGCAGTCCATCCCTCCGACGTACCCAGCACAGCATATCCACAGCCGGGCGGACGCTTCGCCCCACTCATCATCATTCACTCATTTGATATGCTGCGATTTTTTTAGTATTCCGATTTCTCGTTGCTACGCTTCGCCGCAAAGCGTTTCATTGTTTGTTTTCTCACAGAGGGTGCGCTCAGTATTTCCCATCGTTCGAGACATAAGCGCGTGTAAAACGAACGGAGCTGCAGAAGTGGGCTTCCCCTCACAAGGCCTATCAGTGCGGAGAACTCGGATTTACAGGCGCCTGCTGCATACGTACAGACAACACCGTAGTTTTCAGACACGTTAGAAACCTCGCAGGCTTCGAATGTTCATGCTAATATATTTCCCTCCTAAAATACATTTCGTTAGCGCACGAGAGTTGTGACAGATTTGTAAACATCCGCGCTTGCGAAACGTTGTCTGAGCAGCTGTAATGTTATTCCCCGTTCCTCTCAATACGCAGAGTGCGAAGTTAGTAACGTCACACGATGTGATAATACCATTAGTGATTCGCTGGCTTCGCTATGTATGACGGAGTGTGCTTAAGATCTCACATTCTTCGTGTGTTGTCCGGTGACTGCATATAGCGTGTTAATAGTTTCACAGTGCATTTGGCGAGTGTGACATTCTGTCCAATATTGTACTTGATGCTTGTGATCTTTACAACGTGTTCAACTGAATACACAAGGGAAAAAGAAGAAAATGGTGGCGTATAATTTTGTAATCAGTTCATTTTAAAAGCAGTTCCAGCGAACAGCTTGTTGGAACAGTGATTATGGCGCTCGGCTGCTGACCCGTAGATGGTCGCGGGTTCGATTCCGGCCGCGTTGGTCGCATTTCGACGGGCCGAAATGGTACAGGCTCGTGCATACTGGGCGATGTCATTGCATGCCAAAAAATATACGAGATGGCCTAAATTTCTGTAGCCCTACACTACGGCATCTCATAGTCATGTCGTTAATTGATCTCATGTCGAAAGAAGGAAGGAAAATGGGAGAAAAACAACGGCAGGGAGGTTGACTAGCCTATAGGCAGTCGGTTTGCTACCCTGCGCATGGGAGGGGGATGGGGGAGATGAAAGATAGAGAGCGTAGAGGGAAGAGAGATAAACACAGCAGATTCGGCAGCACACGCGCGCACACTCTGTCATTGTCCAGTCTTGTCTTTCGCGGTGGTGTGTGACATTGCTTTCAAAAATGGCCAGTACATTCTCTTGGACGCCAGCATAAGTTGCTGGCCTGCTAGAGATACCGGTTGCCATGTTATATCTGTAACGTTAGGCTGACGAGGACACGTTGTTGCGGCAGAGAACAGCTTTATGAAAACGAACCTCAATCCGGGTCCACTAACTAGTTGTCGCACGTTTCGCCACGTAAGTCAAGCAAGCTACACGTGTGCACGTAATCAGCAAGGTGTAGTTGACTGTCCTTGACAGCGCGGTGCAACAAGCTGCACCGAATCTGCCGCCGGCAAACACCGTTGTGCTCTGCCGAGACGCTCGTTGTTTCACTCGTGTTGGGCAACGGAGATTAGCTGCGCCACTCTTCCGCGGCTCAGAACGCGAGCACGTGGCGACATATTGGCGGGCTATAGTGCTCGTGTGCGTTCTGTCGGAAACAGCAGAAGGCCGACACGATATGGCTGCTTGTTGTCGCGGTATTCGTCATTCATCGTAGGCGAGCGCCTGTGTTAATCACGGTGCGCGTAACTATAGCAGTTCTGACTCGACTCGCTGAAAACGAATCGACGCAAGCCGAGCCTATAAACACTCTGCGGCGGTATATGTGTGGAAGGAAGGAAAACGGGGGGAAAAAGAACGGCAGGGAGGGTATATGTGTGGAGCCACGATGTGCTATAGGAGGTGTTCACGTGACGTTATCCGCGAGGGGCGCGGCAGTCGCTATATCTGTGGTCTCGCGCGCGAGCGTCATCGTCGTACCACAACCGAAGTTTTTTTGCCAGCACGTGTTACGTTGATATATCTCTAGGAAAACGAGTTATTGAGCTTGCAGCGCCGCCAAATATCGTGCTGTCACGTGCCGGATCGCAGACGGACCGTGGCTGCTGCGGCGTATTCACTGGCTCCGCCTGGCGGGAAAAGGGAATGGCGAATACCTCCTGTATTCTGCTAAAGAAGCCGACTCACTACGAAATATCGCGAAGCTGTTGGTTGACTATGAGATAAAACGTCGCATTTAGCTGTTAGTGAGCTCACCTGAAGCTGTGGAAACGCGTGCAAGCAGATTTTCTGGTTCGAATGACCGATTCCATGCTCGGTCTGCTGAAAGGGGGTGCTTATCGGGCAACAAATCGTGTATATATTTGTAAGCGCCAGAGATTACAGCAGTTGACGTTTGTCACTGCTAACACACGTCGTGTGTTGCAAACACACGTTGTCACGGTGAACTCGAATCATGTGCGTGCACGCAAGTGTATTATACCTTTTGGCACGTGGTACCGCAGTTGTCAGTTAGGCGCGTCGCGTATCTCTACTGGCCGAATTCCGTCCATCCCCCTTGCCGTTCACTGCAACGTGTTCTGCCATGTCGTGTGAAGAGACGATTGCGCGAGTTGGTGCGTCATATTCACGTATTGCTGTATCGCAACTCAATTTTGAGCACGGATTGATTGATATGCGGGGTTTAACGTCCCAAAACCACCATATGATTATGAGAGACGCCGTAGTGGAGGGCTCCGGAAATTTCGACCACCTGGGGTTCTTTAACGTGCACCCAAATCTGAGCACACGGGCCTACAACATTTCCGCCTCCATCGGAAATGGAGCCGCCGCAGCCGGGATTCGATCCCGCGACCTGCGGGTCAGCAGCCGAGAATTTCGAGCACGGAGAAAAGGGACGCAAGCACAGGGGGAATAAGGATGAGTTTGTGGTATATACTGAAACGTACGGTTGCGCAAAGCTATCCATGTTAATACCGTGTTATATTCCTGGAATGACGAAAGCATGCGAGCATATACTTTCAGCGGAGTGCCCTGTCTTTCTGTGGATGACGGAATTGTGTGTAATATAGCCTCGTTGCTCTGTCACGTGCAGGGCCGGCGGCGGCGACATGGCGACCGCCGAGGATTCTAGCATGGCGTCGCTGTCGCTGGCCGCCGAGCGCGAGGCGCCCCGCAGGAGGCGGCTGTGCCGCTGGCTCCGCGAGCTGCCCTGGAGGTGCTGGCGCTGCTCGCGGACCGCGGGCACGGAGGGCGGCAGCCCGGGTGCCGAGCCCAACCGGCGGCTGGTGCCCAACCACACGGTGCCCGAAGACACCGCGCAGCACCCTAACCGCGGGTTCGCCGACAACGCGGTGCGCACCACCAAGTACACGCTGCTGTCGTTCGTGCCGCGCAACCTGTTCGAACAGTTCCACCGGTTCGCCAACCTGTACTTCCTGGGCATCGTGCTGCTCAACTGGGTGCCGCAGATCAACGCGTTCGGCAAGGAGGTCGCCATGATACCCGTGCTGTTCGTGCTCGGCGTGACCGCCATCAAGGACGCCTTCGAGGACCACCGCCGATACGTGTCCGACAGGCGCGTCAACAACTCCACCTGCCGCGTCTACAACAAGTGAGTTGACGAGCGTTGGCGGCGGCGCTTGGTGCGTTATACTTTCAAGCTAAGCCCCGTATCGTCTGCGACAACGTTAAGGTCCATTTAATGTCTTGCTATAGATATATTTTTATACCGACAACAGTGCAAACAAAGGACAAGGGATAGGAAGAACACAAACGAGCGCTAAACTTGCAACTGAACTTTATTTGCGAAACGGAGCAGAATATAAAGCTATATATTGTTCACGAGTTATGTATTGTTTCAGAATATATCATTGTTCACGTGTCTTTTTTTTTTCTTCTATATATTCTGCTCTTCCTATCCCTCGTCCTTCGTAACGCTGTTGTCAGTACAATGGACACCAACTTGCCCAACAATTCGCTCTCTAGATATATACGTTTAGTTTGAATTACTGTTTCGTATACACATGTGACCGCAAGCACCTGTCTCTGATGAACATGTTCTTTTGGCCTATTTTGATGCGCTGGTTCGCCCGGGCGGATGGTCATTTGGAAAAGGTTCGCTGGATCACATCGAAGAGTGATTGTATACCATCGCGCGTCAAACATTTTGGGTGGTGCCACTGCACTCTGTCCAGCTCAAAGATTTTTATAGGGACTGAAACGTTGCTTACGAAATAATAGAAATGCACTGACTGCAGGTATGCGCTGGATTGTGCCGTGGTTTGGTGCTATTTGGGAATGATTATCGGGGATTACTTGTAGTTGCAATGCCGTTTTATTAGTGCAGTGTTTGATGATGCTCGGCCGATTGCCTGCGAGGTGGTTGCACCATAACTTCGGCAGTGTGTGTACTTTTGTTTAGCGTACTAATGATTTTTTATAGTAGTTGAGCACGTCAGGTGTGAAAGGTCCGACTGCGTAAAGGCACGTGCCAGAATTGGCGCCCCCTTTTTGTATGATCAAAGGAAGACACTCCCACCCCATTCCGCACGCCTGTGTCCACAAACGAACGAAATTCCCGCACGTCGACGTCTTGACGGGGAATCGCGAGCTGCGCTCCTGGAGTCGAAGAACTCGTGGTGGTGTCGGCGGACGTCCGTAGCCTCGCGGTACGCCGATGGTCGCTTGAAGGTCGTCGCGCGCACACCGCCTCTGCCGTCGATGTCATGCGGTTTTTTGATGTCATGCGCTAACCCTAAATCGCGCACAACACACCGCAACGTCTTGCCACTCTTCTCAACCAGGCCGAACTCCCCCTTCCCCACACACGCAACCCCCACAACTGCCAGTCCCAATGATGATGATGACGCCGTCATGTAGTGCCCTCTCTCGGCCAAGTTCCGATGATGATGATGATGACGCCGTCATGTAGTGCCCTCTCTCGGCCAAGTCCCGATGATGATGACGCCGTCACGTAACGCCCTCTCGCCAACCTTACATCGAATTTCGTGGCTTCGCCTTTGAAGGTCATCGCGTGGCCTGTTGTATCGACTGACCTTACACCCCCTGATCCCGACGGGGGTCGTTTTCTCGTCACCTCTAGTGGATGCGGTCCCGCCGCGGAGTTAGCGTAAGCCGCTGCGCGACTGGAACTGGGTGTACCGTATGTGCTACACAACTTCTTCACCTGTGGTACATTTCTTGCAGGTGCCCTTCGGCTATACACTCGCTCAGTTTTTTTGTTTGCAGTGTATGTTTGCATCCTTTGTAAGGATCAGTGCGCAGCGCAATGTGTGTGTCACCTTCTCATCCTTATTCTTGTGTCAGGTAGTACATAACAAACGACGTTCCCGCGAAACGGATTTTCAGTGTGGATATAACGTAGTGCGATTTGAGAATCGGCAGCTTCGAATCTAGAAAGAGTTATAAATAAACGCTTGCTAATTAAGATTGAATAAGCACAGAAGGATCAACGTAGCAGCAATGAAATTTCAGGAGCTTTTCACCTGTCGTCGACTCTTACATTTCTGTCGCTGTAGATGCGTCGCTCATTAGGCAAGATTTTGACCTATTTTTAGGGGTGAAGCTCCGGCTCCGTATGCCGTGGGTCGTTCCCTCCTCCTCCTCTGTAGTAGTAGTAGTAGTAGTAGTAGTAGTAGTAGTAGTAGTAGTAGTAGTGGTGGTGGTGGTGGTGGTGGTGGTAGTAGTACTGGTAGTAGTAGTATGCAGCCACCACTAGTTAAGAGTTCCTCTATAGATGGCGTTGTGTGTATATGTCCTTGGGAGTAATATAAATAGACGGCTTTAGTGGTTTTCACAGCATACCCACGGAGTGAATGATGAAGTGGGGCGAAGCGTCCGTCCGTTCGTTCCAAGGAGGCAGACAAACAGACGGACGGGCGGATGATTCATGGTTTACCGATAAATCACTCCGACGCTTCGCCCCCACTCATCGTCATTCACTCCGTGGATAGACATGCTGCGATATTTTTCTTCGTTGTTTTTTTTTCTTCTTGCACGTTGAAAGGCAATGTTCCGGAACACGACGAAACAACGCTTGTTTCGTAATTGTGTAGAGTTTTCTAATTTTCGCACGCCGTGCTGCTGCTGCGGCGAAACCTAGATGGCAAAAACTACAAAAACGCTATTAAAAGAGAGAGTTAGAGTGAGAGATAGGGCTGTTGCAGCCGCTGGTAGCCGCATCGGGCAGCGGTGGCGTCGCTTCGACAGGGATTTTCACTTAATAAAATGTTTCCTCTCTCTCTCTCTGTCCACGATATCGCTATTATTTCCCGTTGTCTTTCTCGACTGGGTGGAAGAGCGCATAGCCTGGCAAAAGGGTGATGTTGTACTGGACGGGCGGAAAGAGATTCGGGCGAATACGACTGCGTATGTAGGGCTTTGTTAGGTCGACCGCGTCGTGTGACAGGGGCGCTGTCGGGAGCTGCAGCCAGACGACTGCGTTGCGTGCGGTCCTGTGTGCGTGACGTAGTTTTGAGCGAAAGCCGCCGTTCCCATTGTGCACTTGGACGTATACGTCGCTTTCGCGCTCGGCGACGGAACGGCAAGCGGAAGTTGTTTCCCAGACGGAACGACGTCACTCGCTCGTGTCACTCGTTGGGAGAGGGAAAAAGAGAGAAGGAAATTGAGGGAGAGAGAGAAAACCGCTGTTCGCCGGGACGTGACCGCGTCCTTCTTTCTCCGACAGACGGGCACTTTACTTGTCCGTGTGCACGCTATACAGCCGGTCTGCATTGCGTGGCCGCTGCCGCCGCCGCTGTCATTTGAGCGATTATTCCTCGTTTCCCACTCCTCTCTCTTGCATCACTCTTCTTCCATTGGCAGATTTCGGTCGCTGCCGTGTTCCTCCGATGATTAGCCTTACGGTCGCTCTTGCTTAATCGCCCTTCACGTGGCAGAAGGACTTGTTCCTGGGCTATAGTTGGGGCCGGATCAAATTCATTATGTAGCGCAACAACATACGACGAGACGGACATAAAGAACGAACACATCAGCTGGCGCTTTTGTCGTTGCGCACTTTTCTCGTTAAGTAGTGGTTATAGTAGCGCTTGTGGTGTGTCGTTCTTTGTGTTCCGTCTTCTCGTTTGTTGAGTGCTGCATTACGAATTCGCCCTTCACTTGTTTGCGTCGTCTTGTTTTGATGATTCCTTTCTTCTTTTTTTTTTTTGGTGCTAAACGGACGAGAAACACCAAATCGGGAGTCATTCGCGTGATTTCACTGTGCGTGCAACAGTGCTGATCGAGGGGGGGAGTGAAGCAAGTTTATTCAGTGGTTCACAATATACGCGAGTAAATTCAACGTCACCTGGCTATAGGCCCGTTCGAGGATGGTCAGTTTAAATCTGGCCACCCACGCGCCGGAACCCTCTGCCAGAATTTGAGAGGTCAAGGAAGACCTGGGCCTCAAATTTTCTCCAGCAAATGTCGTCTGTGATGAGTTGATCTTACAGCGAAACTGCTTTAGTGTACGCTGCACCGTCTTTTGTTTGATTATTATTATTATTATTATTATTATATTTGAAGTAGTAGTAGTAGTAGTAAACCTCACTTAGCTGACGTGCCCAAAAGGGCGAGTAACGAATGAAAAAGAACGAAACTATGCGATGATGATGATGATGATGATGATTGAATTGTGTCAACGCGCGTATTTCAAATCTAGCGGCGCATCAGGGGCACCGCGTGATCTCGCCAGCCAATCAGACACGCTCGCGCGCTTGCAACTTCGTCCTTCGACGATAGTTATAGCGCGAGAACAAAACGATGACACAGAGACAAGAAGGACACGAAAGACACGAGGTTTCGGTGCGGGCAGGTAGTTATATTATTTTTACCTTTCTGTTTCGTTTTCTTCTAGATTTTTCTGTGCTGTTTTTCAGTGCCTTTGTTTTTGTGTTGTTTGTTTTTGTTTTTTCTTACTCTTGTTCTGCTATTTGTGCCATATGGTTTTTATCACATGGTTACTGTCTCCTCTATATATTTTCGTGCTCTGCGCATTAAACTCAGTTGGAAGTTAGCGCTCGTGTCCTTCTTGTCTCTGTCTCGTCGTTTTGTTCTCGCGCTATAACTATCGTCGTGCCATACCAACTAGCCCAAGCTGCCACACTTCTTCGTCCTCCGGCGGTGGTCGCAGACTTGCAGGTGGCTTCCATTATTATTACTGTACCCTCTGTTGCTTGTCCGCGTTGTGTACGCTCACAATTTCAATGAAATCGCTTCGCTCTTGCCTTTTACCGTGCCGTAGCAATACCGTGCCGCGCAGTAGCAATACCGTGCCGTGCCGATGGCTCCCTCCCTTTGCGTTCTCTGTAGCGGGCGCGCCGCACCGCGAGAAATAACGCCCCCTGTCGGGCCTTGAGTCTTGTAAATGATGGGGCTGCCGCTGCTGCTGCCTCGTTGTTTTCGTCCTTCTGTCGGTCGCCGCCGTCTGCTGTTTCCGTGCGTGCGGGGTATTAGGCCAACTTCTTTTCACCATACTCCTCCGCCTTCGCGTCGACCTTCGAGGTTCCTCTCGCCTCTCGCGCGTTTTTCGCTCAACGCCTGCGTTATTTTTGTCTCGGAAGTTGCGTTCGCTTAACGATCACACTATCGTCT